GAGTGGGAACGCCGTGCTCAACGATACTTGTATATTAGTTCCTTCCGATACTGGTGATTGGAATTTTATGTATATGACCGTTTATCTTGATGCATATCAAATTCCGCTTTACGGCATATAGAAGTTCATTGGTACAAAGAATGAACGCTAAGTAACCTATTACTGAATCTGATTATGGCATAATAAGTATGGGTATTCAAAAAAGGATTTTATAATTCACAAATACTTTCCTCTGGATACCAGCAAGAAACTTTTCATTCATCTAAACAGCTGTCCACCACAACGATGATTAACGTGTACAGGCTACCTCGTCCATTAAACCTCACAACCACTACATCTCTGAGTATTATAACTGCGAAATTCAGAAGCCAGGGAAGCTTAACTTAGCCCATTCAGGGAACAGGATGCAACTCTCACGGAGTGGTTCTGTAAGCGGCTTACCACAGCCACTTCAATTTCAGGGCTGATTGAACTTGTAGATGAAGCCAATAGACGGGACAGAGACTGAATACCCTCTAACTTTAATGATTTACTGATAAATGACTAGCTTATGGTTGTGAGTATCTATGTCCACCCACCAATAGGAAGTAGAGACCATGATGCAACAAAATCTGACGTGGTCTGATGAAATACTTAGGCGACGAGAATATCTCTCACCCTAGCTGCACTGGGTCAGACTTCACGACGACGAAGATTGATCTTCAATACGTCTTCAGTCTTCTTCTGGCCATGGGAGAGTTGGAGGTTAACACTGGATGACCACTAAGAAATAGTGAGTAGCATACACCTTGAAAGCGAAAATACTGGGTTAAGTGAGGTACAAAATGTTTGCCACAAGCCAAAAAGGGAGCATGGTACAAGCGGAAAGACTCCTGCTAGGACCATAAAACACCTGTTCATGTAATATCTCCCGATTTCACAAAAGCCTATGACACAACACCTTATGTTTTTCGCATAGCGAAGATTGCTGAAATGGGTTCAAGTGACCGATTTTAATCCTGGCTCCGAAACTACCTTGAGGAAAGAATGTACCAAGGTAAGTAAAGTGCACGCAAATTGGTAAGTTTCAACATCAGGAGTATCATAAGGAACAATCTTATATCCACTTTTATTAATCATCTTTAATAATAACCTACCAGATTAAATGAGCTAGAGGACAAAGATCTATTCAGATGACGTAAAAATCTGGAGGTTCATTAGAAGCGAAGAGAATTCACTTGAGCTTCAAAAAACCTTATAATAATGGAATGGAGAGTAGACGATAAATTACATAGTATCCTGTCATACCTGCATTTCATGAGCATTCTGCTTTATTTGAAACAATACACTCACGCCCTCTGTGGACATCCGCTACTGATTGTCTCCTGAGAACTAGATTTCGGAATTTATGTGTAGGAAACTTGGTACAGTCACCCTAGAGCTGTTTCTAGCATTATTTAAAATGTAAGCATGGCCCTACCTTGAAGTTCACCGTGTTCTTCAGCCCCTTCTCTTTCAAAAAGACATAAGCCTCTTAGACCAAATGCAGATAAGCAACCAAGTAGGTGATATGTCTAAAACGTTAATATTACGAGGAAAGACTTCAACACCTGGAATTATTCTCGTTGAGCCACTGGAGAATAAGAAGTGATCTGCTGGTAACAAAGGACATGATAAGTACCACAAGCCACCCCAACACGAGAGAATTATCGAAATATCATCGTCACGCTCTTCTAGGCAACCCTCAACAGAGCAAGCACCCAGGTACTCTGTCATCTTTCCTCACTAAGAGTTTCATCCAGTTGAAGTGCATTCACAGCCAAAGTGGTCGCAACCACATAGTGAACAGCTTTAAAATAAGACTTGACAAACATGTTCTCCACCATGGAATATCATCTCAATCCCGGAACAGCTGTATTTGATGCATGTTTCTCAAATTACAACCGTTATTACTGCTGCATATCATTAACCACTTCCCATGTTCTCTAATATTAATCCCGTTCCAATTCTTATTCTTCCGATTCCGTCCTCTTACACATTAACAAATAATTAACTTATTTGTCATTCTTGGAGCAATTCACTTCTCTCAGCACGGTAATTATCATTTCATTGTTTGAAAAATTTAGTTAACCAACCTCGTGCCTGACAATTCAATTACCTTTGGTATTACCTTTGGTGTATTTGTAACAGCATAGGTTGGTTGGTTAAGAGTTGACCCCAAACAACCAAGCATATGCCAAAACAGTATTGTTCAAGTATTCATTCACTTCCTTATTTTGTGTAAGCGTGATATTCCTTATTATCTTATATTGAATGTTAAAAGCATTTGTTTGTCTGAACAGATAATCCCACGCTCCACTGTGACTGCGCTAAGATCGAAATAAAGACCTATTCACTTCTTGTCTGGCTTCTTCTATCAATAGCACGAGGGTTACCTATAGGCACGAAATATTCACCCAAACTACAAAGGGCCGCCATCTCTGTAATCAGTAGTGGTCGGCTTAGCTCGTCCTGTGATTTTTCTCGTGTTTTTTCTCCTGTTTTTTGTGTAGCCGCATGAGGTAATGTTTCAGTGTGCTGAGATTCCTCAGTTAATGTAATACTCTAAGAGCTGGTGCAAATTTTCATGTAATCAGCTCTGTTTTCTCGGTTCTTCCTGCTGCTACTCACGACAATGTATTTCTTCAGACAAACTCGTTTGTTTTGTGTTATAAAATGTTAGTTCGTTTTGTTTTGAGTATTATTTTGTAGGTTTTGAAAATCAAAGTTGGTTTTTTAGCTGAAATAAGTGTTGCTACCGCCTGAGTAAAAGCATAGTGTGCAAACTCCCTCAGGAAGTTTCATTAGCAATGGAATATCAAACAAACATTTACACCAGGTTTCCATTTAAAACTCGCATTGGCAAGCATAAGCTGTAGTCTTTGTTATTTTTTAAACTAAAAGGGTAAAACAAGTAACTCATAAATATTGTAAGGGGTTGTGAAACTAAAGTGAACGTCCAGGATGTTTTTACTAAGTTTTGGAGAAGCTGCTATCTGTTGAATCTGCTATAAACAGTTTCATTAGGCAATACATCTAACGACAATGCACTCTGTAAGATCTGTGAGTGTTCACTCTTGTTGCATTCTAGATGAACACTAATAGTGACGACCTTAGTCAAAAATATGGAATAGGCAAATAAATAAATTATATGCGTTTAACCAAAGACTTTACGCAACTGTGATTTACCCCATGTTCGCGAATATTAGTTTAAGACCAGGTCAGCTACTGCAAACTGTGCAAAGCATAGTAGATTCCTAATACTGTATTGTACAGTTTTTATTATTTTGCTCCTATTTATGTATTCCAGTGCATCTGTGTCTGGTTTTATGAGGAAATATACAGGTACACTTAGTTTCCACACCCAGCTGCATTTAATTAAGATGCAGAACACTCCTCACCCACGACTGTATACTGCTGTTTTGCAGGGAAGTAAAAACACTGACACTTAGCTATCCAGCTGTAGATGTTAACATTGGAGAAATCGTTTAATGGCGGTGGTCTTTAAATATGGTCAAACCTAGGCGTACAATCTTCTCGTAAACATCAAACATATCGCTTTTTTCGAAATTAACGCTATCCTATAATAGATGGCAACAACAGCATTCAAGGTACGTTTTTTCCTATTTGCAAGCAGACTGATTTGAATCAGTATACTTGTAGAATTACGACCTAATACTGAAATTGTAGATTTGTCATGATGTGACTGCTTAGTCTGTGAGATCGTACGTGAAAGTAATATTATTGTCTACACTGACTCGTCCAATCGTTAGAATCGCCTATATATGATAGAGAACATATCTGGGCTGGAGTTAGAACAATATATTTAATATGAATAGAAGAGATAGGTTACACAAGATTGACCACGCCTCACAGACTGAACCATGCCATTCGATGAACTGAATTAATGTTCCCACATTCCCCGTGGTTAACATTATCTATGTGTCAATCGTAGAATATAAGTCGTTTCATTAATTATATGCTCGGCGTCAAAAGTCGTGTGATTCGGGTCGAATGCCACTGCATACTCATTAAAAGCAGTCTTATATGGGAGACGCTGCAGTCTCTCTGTCGTTTTTATTGAAGTCTAAGTTATTACAGAGTGTTCGTATTACTACTGCTCTACGTGTAACTTGTTTTAGATCCAGTGGAAATATGACAAACATGATACATCAATATAACATCCTCGTGATTCATTTTGTTCTGCACAAATCACAAGTTCACAACATTGTTTTCCTGAAGCTATAAACACTGTAATGCATATATAATTTTTACACTGATCATTTTCTAGTTGTGACGTCTAGGCATGCTAACTGAAATGAGCTGTTCTACTTACGAAGCTGATCTGATTCATTACATACTATATGCACTATACTTAGGTATAATATAATTATATTGACCTGAGATAATTATACGAGAACAAAGAATACTAAATGAATTAGGCCTATAAACCCAAAACAGAACTATAGGCCAGATAAAAATGATATTGTTTTCAAAACAACAGTCGCTTACTCATTAAAACGTAGTTTACAATACAACAGAACTTTCTCCAGTAACATTATTCATTGACGGTCTGCTTTAAAAGAAGCGATTATGTGATAATATTTACTATGAATTGGGATATCATTCTAACACACAATGCATGTCCAGCGTAACGCAGCCAGACAAGGCAAACAAATACAACCAGAGAAAAATTCACAGTATAATCTAGATTTTTAACGGAAAATACATCATAATATGACAGGTTGAGTGACTACATGAACGTAAATTTGACCATTGTTCCGCTTTGCGATACACTGGGTTGATGTGACAACGTTGAGTTTAAAATAATCCCCACAAAGTATACAAATTAGTAAACTGACCAAATTACAACCAATTAAACATCGAATACCTAAAACCGTACATAAGCAAGAAGAAGCTATCAAGGGAAAAAGTTTGGTTTGCTCAAGCTCGTGAGAAAATTATTGGGCGCTTAAGTTACCGTGGGTGTTTTAAAAATGATACTGAGATATCGCTTTTTCCGTGTTTTTAGTTATCACGGCAGAAAACTAAGTCATTACACACCCGCTGGATATTCACAACTTATATCAACTGCTGAAGTCAAGAAGTTTTGTATTCAGTGCTTAGAAAAAGTCGGAGCACAATCAAAACATGCAAAAGCACTCAGCGATGTCCTAGTTGCTGGCGATTATCGTGGTCATTATAGTCATGGGCTGAATAGACTAGGTAAATATTGAGGCTGCACAAACTCATTATTTATTCAAGAAATGTATGTACAGGATATTCAGAAAGGTGTATGCTCAACGGATTTAGAACCCATAATTGTGAAAGAAACAGTGTCCACTGCCCTTGTAGACGGAAAAAATGTTTTAGGTCCAGTTGTAGGAAATTTTGCGATGGAGACAGCAATCAAAAAAGCCGATAAAACTGGAATCGCTTTCGTTGCGGCGTTTGGTAAAATTCGACCATATAAAATAAGTTACAATCAGGTTCCAATCATTTCGGTATTGCTGGATGGTACAGTCTCATGGCTCTACAACAAGGACTCATAGTAATTTCATCTCTTCATAATATCTATGTTCCAGGGTCTTGCGTTTACGAACACTTCTCCCTTGGTATTTCCTACACGAGCACGAAAGGTAAATTGTAAACATATGTACATATATAGTCATGCATTAAATGATGTCTTTATACTTTGGATAAAAATCAACACAATTATTCAAACTTTTGTTTTATCAGTACCCTTACTATATTTCATTATTTTAACAGAGTGTTCATGTATATAAGCAAAGTCTGTCAACTTGGACTAAGGATATATATTTTCATTATCTTTAAACTGTAAAATACTTCAGGTTGGAAGCTTGCTGCATAAAATATAAAAATTCGAAGTTCATAAATCATAGACATCAGTGTTCCATTCAGTCAGTGACTGGAAGGAAGATTTTTTAGACAAATCATTCATTAAACTAAACTAAGTGAACTCATGGGACTTGGTTTTCCGGTGTTAAAGTACAAAATTAGAAAGTCACTCAAGAAAGTAAAATCCTGACTTCAGCAAGGCCTTATGAGATGCCATCTGATATTTCTGATGAAAGAAGACATACATAATTTGAACCCCAAAGATTTGTTAGAAATTCGACAGTTGATAGCCAGCATAAAATTTGGTTTGTTTTAATTGGTAATTCCTTTGCATATTGGTCCGAGTTTGGTTTGAATTCCAAACAAAACATTCGGTTGTCCTCAGGAAGTTTTTCCACATGATTAATGGCCCCAATGTAACTACTTGAGTACGATTCGGAAAGTGATGGTAGGTAATACCTAAAATCTCAAAGAACTTATCATATACAGATTGTTTTTAATAGTTAGATTTAATCTAGCCTTAAAAAACAGAATACGTGAATAACGGTTTGTAAACTATGTAGGCAATAGAAAAACAAATAGCATCATTTGTTCTATAGTCCAGACCTTTTTTATTAGACAGCTATTTATAAACAAGTACAGAGGTGATTAATGTCATAGAACACAACAATGACTATCACACATTTAACTACCTCATGTGTTTGGTTGAACAAACAAAATTCTTTCGAGACGTTTTCCACGTGTTTAATTCGTTGAATCAGTAGTAACCTTTATTCTACCTTAGTAGATGAATAGAGACCTATAGCCTTCCATAAAATTCAGTCCAACCCGATTGCTTTTCTAGGATGTAAACAAAACTGACTTTTGTAGTGTTTATGAAAAATTATAATTGTTTGGTAAATACTTAGCCACGTAACTCTATAAGAGCTTTTAGAAACGGAACATCTATAAGTGCAACCATTCGCTTTAGATATGGTCTTAAAACCATCACTTTCAACTAAATATTCATGATATTTAAAGCTGGATGCACAGAATTAACAATTATTTAAATAAACAGTAATATTCTTCTTAAACAGACTACATAATAGGACGATAAGTCCTTGTTCATGAGCTATTTTATCAAAACCACAAATAATTATACCATCTTGATAATATCCACCGAACGACGTAATCCATTACAGTATAAATCTCATCTTCAAAATAGCCCAAGAAAAATTTAAACTAAACGGAAAACATCTACATTGAAATAAACCAAAAAAAGAACATTAATCGTCTTCACAACCTATAAACACAAATTTAAGAAAACCTGAAAATAATGATCTCTTATGTAGACTTTGGGGAACACTCTTAAACCATGAAGTCGATCAAGGGTATCTCTAACTTAAAGTGCAGTGTATTCTTGTCCCCAAAACCCAGCGTATATTATAAAGGGTTTTTAATCAGATCTTAAAGAAGTGACAATAGAGTTATTCCACATTCAAGACTAAACCGGTTCAAATATCATTTTTTTACACAAATTATTTGCACTTTTGTGCATTTTTCTATAATCGCCTTCCATAAATTGCATTTGCGGTTATAAATAATTAGAAACTGGGTATTAAACAATAGCTGACTAAGTGCGCTGAATAATGATGAAGCTTGCAACTAAAGTATAAGTGCTGATCTGATGTACATAATACTTTTATATGACTTTCTGTATTGGCAAGTCATTGCACTGTTAATGGTATGAGGAATGAGCAAAAAGACATTTTTTGTTACTTTGTGTGAGATATTTTGATTTAATTTATGATTATAAATGATAAGACAAAACTGCATGTCAGGATTTAATTTCCTCTTCTAAATGCCTAACTGCTTTTATGCGGTATTAATAAGTAAATTTTAAACATTTTAGTGAACCTCCCATGATTCGAATTTGTTTGTATACTCATCATTGATCCATACAAACGACCTGATCTTCTAGGACAGATAATACCGGCTTAACTTATTTTTACTGTTTAAAGAGACTAACAGTGACTGATACTCGATTTCCACATTTTTATAGTTACTGATATATTTAAACACAAAAGCTATCGAAAAATCAAAAAAATATAGGCATATTTTCCATCATAAGAGACTAATAAATAAATACTTATATCGATAATCTCAAATAGGAATTCGATTGAGAACTGGAATTCTCCATCATTCATTTTGAATTTAGTTGAGCAGATGGATGTTCCTTCTCGACCATTTAGGGGCCGATACTTTCGTTGTTAGTTCTTATCATCAAAAGCTTAGGAAATAATTGTATGGGAATGAGTAATTCCCATTACTTAGTGAAAAATATATTAGCTAAATCATAATCATACCACTACAAAATTTTTGTGACTTTATGGGCCGCTGGTTATCATTTAATCTAGTCGCCAACCAAAATACGACGTATTCACTCTTATGTTGTACTAAACCAATGACGTCCGACCGGTCTGATCAGCCTAGCGTCCTATTGATACCTTGCTCGCCTAGCCCGTCCAGCTGATTCCAGAATGCTAATAACAGGCTCCACTGTGCTAATCATTTATTTCAGACATACTGGGTTTATATACCAAACAAACAGACCGCAACGCACCATAAAATAGGAAATAACATTCATACACAATAAAGCCTAAAAGTGGCTGTGAACGTGAGAGGCAGTAGTCAATAAACTGAACATAGCTTAAAAACAGTAAATCGTACAATAATGATCTATAGGTCAAAACGAACCTTATAATAAGAGAAATATAGATATACACAATCTAACTACTGAATAGTTATACCATAAGAATATATAGATAATATTAATCCATTAATGGGTCTCAGACGTCACTAGTAATTCAATCTTTGCTAGGATATAACAAAAATACTCCGTAAAAATGCTTTGACGTATAAAGAAAAATTAAAATAAATTTATAACTTGTGATGAGCCCTAAATTAAGAATCAAATACAATCGTAACTCATCGTTATTTTGCTTTTATAAAACTTACGATTAGATAAGCAAACTAATGAGAATCTGTACTGAACGATTTATATATACAAGAGATTGCAGACGGTTTGCAACCATCGATTCATGAATCGTTTGATGTAAATACACGTTAATTTAGGTAGTTTTGGGGGAACATTTTTATTGTTTGAAGGTGATTTTCATCATAAACTGATATGAACGGGAGAAAAGTTTAAAAATAAGGACGGTTTCTTCAGTATATCAGATCCACAATTTAGGATATTTATATCTCTTACTGAGAACAGCATTATCTGCATATTTGAGTCGGAGTTCAGTATTCAATATTCTTAACTTTCGATTTGAAAGTTTTAAGTCAAATCTGATGTAGTCTTATGGATTCACAAAGTAAGACAAAACTGATATATGATACTCCCTAGTTTTCTAAAATTCACAACAACAAAATTAGTTTGCAAAGAAAATTATCTTTTTAGAAAAATATTTATTCCTTGAACAGCTACAATTCAAAAACTTTCTTATTTTGAAATACACCTTATTTGGAAACATTTGTCACATATTGATTTTTATATTGTTTAATCAGGAAAAAACCAGCAACCAAATTAGTGCTGGAACGTAAACATTAATCATTTCGGTTAATGGATGAAAAGAATAGTGAATTACATTCTTCTACTGAATTTATGACTTGTATTTGTAAACTGTACAATCCAATTGTGTATAACAATCTAGTTGGATGAATCATTACTTTATATGTGTAAATAGTTGTCCATGTTACAAACAGAAATTAATAATTAAAATGATAGATCATTTAACATCCAACACTCGATCAGTACTTATTTTGTTTTGAAAACACAGTACTCATATAGCATACTTCGTAAAAGGTTAATGATACACACTACTATGATTTCTAACAGATATATGTATATGGACAGTTTTTTCGTGATTTTATAATCATTGCACGACTAATACTAAGTTGTTTGGCCATCATATAACAAGTATACTGTTTGAAGAAGTGCTGTTTTAATCGGTAACTTTAAACATACAATCAACATATAAACAAAAATACATATTCTTTACATTTTTGTCAAATTTCCTAGCATATACGTAAAGAAGGATTCGAACAAGTATTCTTAAGAGCTTTTATGAGTGCACAACATTTTGAATATTATAATCAAAATTGTGATAGTATTTAGTCAATTATTTTTTATAGTTTGATTAACATTCACCTTAAATAACCTTAATTTTATAGCCAAATACTATGAATTCGTAGCCGAAAAATGTCTTGGAATGTTTTACTTGAAATATAACGAAAGCTTGTATCTATTTGTTAATTAACTTGTAGGTTAACGCTGATCATACCACAACAACAAATGTTTACACTACTTTGTTTACTAAATGCGCAAACTAAGGATAGAAAAATATATTCTACAAATAAATCAATAATATGTCCTACAAACTACTACAGATTCATGGTAATCCACTCTCATATGTTTGACCTCATTGTTTAGAAAACCCTTGGAAGTCATCATAACTCCTCATGATGTCATTTCTAAAATTATTCATTTAGTTTCAGTACCTTTTCTAAACTACCGAATAAAAACGTGTTATAGATGATTAAGTCTAGTTTATAAGAGAATTTATTCAAACTGCTAGTTGAATTACAAGTAAGGTAACTTTGGTAAGAACATTATGAAGATCCTATTCCTTTATCAGATACATGTAACTCATCAGTTTTTTTGTGATACTTCTCAGGATTATTTGAAAATTATTCTTCTTATAGATTAAGTATTGAATTCCTCATCTTAGACTGTGATATAACTTTTTCTCCTAAAAGTCAACCTAGAAGCTTTAAGTTCACAACATGTAAATAGGTTTTTTCATAATTGGGTTTTTAAAAACTTTCTCCAACTTATACCTTGCTATTGTTTTTCTCCACTATTTATTTACTTATTGATGTTTGTTCTATTTAAACAACAAACAGTTAGCTGTTGGAACAAATCCAATCACGTTGGCAGCACCTGGTAAGGTTCCTGAGGACCATTTTGTTTTAGATATGGCTACAAGTGCAGTAGCATTGGGTAAAGTGAGTTTTCTTTATTTACTCTATGTTATTTTATTTGGAAAATACCACAACTCTTCTAAAACATCAATGTTCAAGATCTTTCCACAAACACTGATAAAGATTTGTGTTAAGTGATGTCAATTTACAGTGATAAATTTGAATGACTCACTTAGTTTTGTAATTATGATTGTCATTCCTAAATACCTAGATAAATTTTTGAAAAAGTCAAATATAAGAGTGATCGTCTTTAGGGTGTATGATATATCACATATTAGATAGTCGACTTTATAAAAACCTATAAGGTAATTATTCCTTGAAGATAATATGATGATTCAATGAATGGTTATTTTTCTTCATAAATGATCATCATCAGATTTGTGATATCTTTTTTGACAACGGTGACACTCAATGACTACTAGTCTTGAAGCAGTTTGGAAGAACGTTAGGGGCAATCAAACCAAGATTTAGAATCAGTTCATGGAAATATTAACCACTGGACTGAGCAATTTAGAAACGCTTAGACTAATTAACTGGAGTCTGCACGGTATTTTTTTTCCTAGACAATTGTAGAAGTTGTCTGATGACATGACTTACAATCGGTCACAATAAAGTAGATGAATCCACTACCTGTCTTCCCTTAGAGCTTGAGTTTTAAAATGACCTTATATATATAATTATGAGAATTCACTTCTTATCATGAAATCATCTGGTTTATGTTTGGTCTTTTCTACTACTAATGATACTGTTATTAATACTCTGAGATTTGTCTTAATAATTTCAATTTGCTATCCTGATATGGTCTGACAATTTGAACTTATATCGCAGTTTCTTCATCCTTTATGACTAAATGATTATTAATAATAACCAAGACTGTTTAATTAATACATATATTAGATATACATATATTAGATATAATTTAATACTTCTTGAATTAGTGCCATTTCAACGACAAATAAATGTAAAGTGACTCAACCATCATAGTTAATTATAATTTTAAACCAACTAACTACTTCATATTATCAAATTTATCTTGGAAAATACTTAATGAATGATAAATAAATCAATTTTCCAAAGTGACTATTTTCTTATGAGCAATTGAGTTACAGGGTAACTAGCTACCACATAAACAAACGGATATTGTGATTTTTTTAAAATATTTTCTATACATAAGTTAGATTAATTAGTAGGGATTTTTATTCAATGTTGTTTAAACATTTTTAAAGATTGAAATGAGTCGAAGAAGAGGCATTGAAATACCCAAAGGATGGGGTGCTGATACTGACGGGAAAGTGAGTAAAGTCATTCTATGTTTCATGTTTGTCTTTAATAATTTAATACAATATTTTGTCATTAAAGCGTTCGTCTCATTCGATCTTTTTTCTTATTGAAACATGCTTCTATCTTGAGCGACTGAAGAGAATCATAGAAATACAATTCATTTTATATTATATTCTTCTACAATTGTTATTAACGTTGATTTATTCAACATTTTGTATTTTAGTTAAGGTTTATAGTGTGATGTGAAAATGGCATTATGGTGATTTCCGCTTACATATATATATATATACAAATAGTTTTCATATACTACCAATTTACAACTAAAATCTTCTTACTAATTAATTCTACACCATATTTAATTACTGCGCATATGACTGCGTTTTTTTTTATATCTCTTATGAAATGAATTGATATGAAATGAGAAAACCTCACCAAAAGAAGATACTTAGGTACATATCATCCAAATATACAACACTAAACGAAGTCATCATTGAATAAAGTTTAAATTAAGGTTTGATTGTGTAATTTATGAGACAAACTATAGAACAGGTAATGATTAACTAAACCACTACATTCAAGCTGTTCTAGGTTAACTTTTATGTAGAGATGAACCAGTCAGAATAGAAAAAGTAATTTCAATTAACAATCACAAATTTGTAGACGATAACAATTTAGAATGTTATTTTTTTGAAGTCGATAAGAAATGTTCTTTATTCCATATTGAAAATATCATGAAAATCATACAAACACCTTACTTTTTTGACGTTTTTTTCTGGTTAGCGTTTTTTAGCTAGTTAGTTTCCTACGGGATGGGGTCGCTAACCCTATGCCCAACCCTCCCCCTTTACCTGGGTTGGGACCGGCAGTAACTATAAAAGAGATACAGGTGGTCGTGCTCAGACCGAATTGCGACACTAAGAATCATCGTCGAACAATCAGTTGAGTGGAACTCGTCACTGTACATCAACTTCATTGATTATGAAAAGGCATTTAACAGTGTAGATAGGAGAACGTTATGGAAACTTCTTCTACACTACGGAGTTCCTGAGAAGATTGGCAACATTATCCGGAACTCAGATGACAGACTACAGTGCAAGGTTGTGCGTGATGGACAGCTGACAGATGCATTCCAAGTAAGGACCGGAGTCAGACAAAACTATTTACTCTCCCCCTTCCTCTTTCTTCTGGTGATCGACTGGATTATGAAGACCTCAACATCTGAGGTGAAACACGGCATACAATGAACATCTAAGAATCAATTAGACGATGTGGACTTCGCAGATGACCTAGCTCTCCTATCCCATACACACGAACAAATGCAGATAAAGACGGCCAGTGTAGCAGCAGTCTCTGCATCAGTAGGCCTCAACATACACAAGGAGAAAACCAAGGTCTTCAAATACAACTGGGAGAACAGCAATCCAATCACTCTTGATGGCGAAACTCTGGAAGATGTAGAATCCTTCATATACCTGGGAAGCATCATCGATAAACAAGGAGGTTCAGATTCAGACGCAAAGGCAAGGATTGGCAAAGCAAGGGCCGCATTCCTACAACTGAAGAACATATAGAACTCAACACAACTTTCAACCAATATCAAAGTGAGAATCTTCAATACGAACGTCAAGGCAGTCCTACTATACTGAGCTGAAACTTGGAGAACTAAAGCAACCATCATCAAGAAGGTGCAAGTATTTATAAATAGTTGTCTACGCAAGGTACTCAACATCCATTGGCCGGATACCATCAGCAACAGCCTTTTCTGGGAGAGAACAAACCAGCTTCCAGCTGAACGAGAAATTAGGAAAAGACGATGGAAATGGATAGGACATACATTACGAAAATCATCAAACTTGGAATCCTGAAGGGAAGCGGAAAAATGAAAGGCCAAAGAACACATTACGTCGGGAAATCGAAGCAGATATGAAAAGGATGAATAATGACTGGAAGGAGCTGAAAAGGATTTCCCAGGACAGGGTTGGATAGAGAGGCCTATGCTCCTTCACAAGGAGTAACAGGCGTACGTAATTGAGTAAATAAGTTACTTTTTTGACACAAATTCTATCCAAAACAATAAAATCTTGATTATTTTTCTTTTGATTAGGGAAAATTCCCAGCTAAATAGTATTGTTATTATTATTGCATAGAATAGTATGTGTTATTTTTGTGAAATGCTTAACTGACCTATACTTGATAATAAAAATCCGAATCAGATGACGTATGGTAAGAACATAAAAATTACTGATGAATATTTATTTGACCCCCTCAAAATAAATCGGAATGGTACATGAGTACATTCATTTACGTATTGACTTTACTCACACTTAACTAGTGATATAATGGGTAATTTACAATTTTTTTTTCTATCTTACATGTATATTACGATGATACGTTAATACGTTAATATGACTAATCATGTTATATCAGAATCAGGATTCACGACCCAAAATAAAGAATGAAATTAACACTAGAGAATACTTTGTTCAATACAATTACAAACAGTCACACACAATGAGTCCAGAGTAGAAACAATAACATTAAAAGAAATCACATATTTAATGGTCCGTAAGCTGTAGCTATTTGTCCATGCTCAACAATCAATCATACTTTACTTTCAGTACCACATATCAATTAGACAACAATTACCACACAAATGATTGTTATACTTATTTCATAAGAAGATTATCTTGAATAAACATAAATTCGACTTTTTATCCTGTCATATCAGTAGACTCTATTGTGCCTTACAAATGCTTGAACAGATCGGAATATACATTATTATAGAATGATAATGTCATTTTATCTTCATGTTAACACCGGAAACCATGAGAAATCGTTAATAGAAATATAAATAACTAGATAACTGATCCAAGCATAAATTTAATCACTTGAATGAATAAGATTTTGTAATAGAAAAAACATAGATAACCAAATATAAACCCTGAATAGAACTTGTAAACCTTGAAAAACGATAGATTCTCAGTTTTGATAGCTTATTTGTTCATTCGTTAGTAATAAGACATCAAAATGTAAAGGTATTTTCCATAAGGTTCATGAAGTTTCATTTCATACCGCTTACTCTTAGCAATAACAATATTCAATGTCATTTTATTTCATCGTACTAACCAAAGTATTTTTTGTGGTTTTCATTTTTGTACATGCCTTCTTTAGACATCTGTTGATCCAAATTTAGTTGTCACAAAAGGTGGATTAATGCCACTTGGCGGCGAAGAAGAAAATAGTATGTTAACTAATAATCGTTTATTTATATTTAACCTGAAATTTCTTTTTTTTCTACCGAAATTGTACTAGTCTTATAAGCATGAACACTGGATTATAAGAACAATTGTATCTGGAATAAAATAAAAGAGTTGTGATTAGCAATAGAATCCAGGATAAGCGTTTCGTTTTATTTTAAAATTATCTGGATGTATCTGGATCCCAATGTAGCTATCTGAACTCATTCATTCGACAATTACAGTCAGAATTATATTCGATATAACTTATATCATAATTACTATTTCATAACAATACACATAGGATGTGTATATAACAACAAAGACTGTTCGATTTTAGTTAATAATATCAACAAAGATATAACTCAAAAATTCCCACTCAGTTATGTAAATTACATCTTAATTAATCAGTTGAAAAACCGACATAAGTATCTCTATTAACATAATTAATCTGTTTGATCGATCAAATGACATCTTGAGGATTTACATAGATGACTTTTAATAACTAATTAAATTTGTGGTCACTGTTTGTTTTAAGTGTGAACTGTCAATCGATAAGAGTTTGACTGTTCAATTAAACGTAACTATTAGTCATATTTCATTTATTTGAAATGTCCAACGATACTATTTGTCATATGTACGTGGGATCATTCCTAATTGATACGTTGGTCTTGAAAGAAGTAAATGGTTCATATTATATAGACCACATTTATAATTCATATATATGGATGACATATTCACCATGACTGTCCCTTATACCGTTTAGTAACACTTGTGAAGTTCGGAAAAATTCTATCTTTCTTTTCCTAATGTATTGCTATCGATAAGGATTAATGGTAGTGTAAGTCGCGATTTTTCATTCAAATCGTCATGGCCTAGCCAATATTGTCATTTTCGTCCTATTATTCTCTTTTATTAATGAGGAAATCTCATCTGCTATCATTTATCATTTCAACCTAAAAATATTTTCAAGAATGATTCTCTTGAAAGCGATATGTGAATAGTACTAATTTAGTCATAGTATATTTCTTTCTATGTTTCGTCATCATTTTTTCAGTCTGGTTAGCTAAAGCGGCAGTTAAATTTTCCAGAAAGTTAGTGTTGTTTTGTTTAGTTGTCATAGTATAAACTAGAAATGAACTTATCATTTACCATTATACAAACAGTGTCACTGAGGATTTCAGTTATCCGCACATTACTTTTGGAAATAAACGTTGAGATATTTTTCAACCAAACTTATGTATAAAGAAATGATCTATTTAATCCTTTTGCCTGACATGACCTTCACTTGCCACTAGGTAACAATAACAAGCATTCTGTAACCTGATCACAATGGATAAATGTGAATATTATCATCCTATCAACAGTCAAAATACTTTTATCCTGTTATTATTTGTTAGTTTTGACTCCAATATTTTGTATGTTATTTATTATAGTTTATTAGCGATTCACCTATTTTCTTATTTATCTGAAATGACTGTTTATATATTTTTGTTTATTGATTTGTTTGAACACATAAACATTGGTACAAGAGGGCACCAATGCATATGCACCACACAATAACATTGAGGTTGTGAAGGGATAGAGAATGTAAAGTGTGTGTAATAAAAGAACAACAACGAACAGAAATTAGTGCATGAAAGTGAAATCATAATAATAATGGAAGTGGCACTTCATTTAGAAAATGTACATCCCGAAAGTATTCTTTCAGTTAAAGAAGTTATGTTCATTTTTTTATGAAGAACGTAAAAGTTGCAGCAGTATCGCCACGGCTTCTATTCTGAAATATGTCTGATAACATCTCTAGAAACTGTGTTGCACCATCTTTAGAACGCCAACCGTGCAGTCATGGAGGACCAAGGGAAGTCAGCCCTGTACGACTTCCTTTCATACCACGACACAGTGTCATGTAATGACCACCTCTCTGCTTTTTCCAACCGGTTCTAGCACCGATAAATAACACACGATGTGGAATTCGCTGAGACCACATTCGCAGGACTTGTCCAAGACACAGGAGTCAATGCTTCAAGATGATGACACCAGCAAAATTATCGTCGCTGTGCCGGAACACAAGATGCCGAACCTGTACATTAATAACATTTATTTGAACACCAAAATATTGGTACAAGGATGCACCGAATACATATACGCCACATTAGTCACTTGATTTGTGTTTGAGCTGTGATACTGTCCGGGTACCCAGACCGAAGCATGTGGTTTTCTTAGGCGGCCATACCCGAAGCCTTCGATCCAAGGGTCTGATCCAAAAGGCAGTGAAACAACGTTAGGAGATGCAGTTCCATGATAGGCGGTGACCAATAATTAGTTCATACACTATTTTTCCTCTAAGGATCCTGGAACCCATGCGTACCATTGTTTTGAGTCAGGGTTTGCCAACCCTTCTAGGTGGATACTCCTTGTCCACTAACTTAGTTAGAACTCTAAACATTCTCTTTTTGTCCTCTCAATTTCGTAAACAACACTCCCGCCACGAGAAGACAGTGAGTAGGACTACCCTGACAGTGGCTGTATACGCGTGACCATGAGAGAGCATTTAAAGAGAGAGATCTGACTCTCTCCATCCTCAACCGTATCAGGGCATTTGGAGGCCTGTTCATATACGCTATAATTATGTACATGATTTTTAAGAATGCATTATTGTGTATGATATACTATCATTACTAATATCACCAGTATGACACCGTGATTCATAAATAAATATTCTATTATTCATTAAATTTTCTAATTATAATTTTAAAATTGTTAAAAAGAATTACCGAAGAATAACCGAAGTTGTTTAACATCATAACAATGGATTTTACATAAGAACACTGTATTGTCACTAATCATGTATGTAAGAAATATATCAATCAACAAATCTATTTAATGTAAAAAAATTTCATCTTGTAATCAAAATTAATATTACAATTTGTAACTGATCAGATTGTGTTGTGGCTTTATTTCCTTTATCTTAACTTACTTAATTATGCCTGTTACTCCCAATCGAGCATAGGCCGCTGACCAGCATTCTCCAACCCACTCTGTCCTAGGCCTTCCTTTCCAGTTCTATTCAAATTTTGTTCATTTTTCTCATATCTGTCTCGATTTCTTGGCGTAATGTGTTCTTTAGTTTTCCTCTTTTCCTTTGGCCTTGAATATTCCATGTGTGGGCTTGCCTTGTGACGCAGTTGGGTGCTTTCTTTATCTTGACTGAGACTGATTAATTTTTTATGGCCCAATAAGACTAAAGGATAAACATCCATTATCCTCTATTACCAATACATGTAATCGAAATAAGTCATACGACTGATCTTTACCTGGCTTTTGTGGTGTTGTACAAAAGTGCAAAAGGGTTTATTGAAGCCTTAGTCATAAGAAAATTCAAACCCCTCTGTGTGTATTCATCAAAAACAGTTTGTTCTGACCTTAAACCTACCCTGGTAATATATTAGCTTATTAGCCAGAGTGATAAGGTTTCAAATTGTTTTCACATTATTTTCTTTATTATCCTTGTCACCCTCTTATCCCCCGTTTCCAGTCTAGTTGATATCTTATTTTTATACATAAATGTTCTTAACAAGTACATAATATGTGTGTGATCAGATAGTCCGAAATGTGTTGCGCTAATATGCCATCACATAGTTCTAATAATCTTCGTGTGTTAAGGGCAAACTTCAATGTATATATATAAATTTACTTCCTCATATGGGGTATGCTACATAGGCCGCACAAAGCGATTATTATCCAAATGCATCTTGGAACATTATCCATCCTGTCTCTTTGAAGGGGAAAGAAAAACAACCAAAAGTTCGATACAGGAGCACTTAATCAACTGTGGACACATCACTCCAAAGGACTTTTCATTTAAGGTAGTCTACAGAGTCAAAGGATCGAAGGGGGTTCGAATCAATATTTTATGCACTGCAGAGGCATTGGCAATCCACAAACTCAAGCCTGTACTTTGCGTGCAGAAACGATTTGTCCAACATCTCATCCTTCCTTGGCCCTAATTCCTTTGATGTATATGTTTCTGTGTTTTCTTTTGTTTTCTTGTTTTTTCTGCACTTTTATTTGATTATAATCGATATTTTTAAATTACTATTTTGCACTTTAAACTCTAATCATTTATTATTATTACCTTATACAAGTTCTTTTTTTGATTATTATCATTCAGTTTATTATTATGCCGTTTTTCTTCATATCTGTCAATTGGACTATTATCTGACCCATAAATTCTGTTCTCCCTTATCCCTTGATTAGTACGTTAACCTCATTTGTTATTTATTCTCGAATCCATTTTTGTGATACAATCCTTTCTATCTCTCTCTATAGACCTATATTTTTCGTATATAACTATATATACGAATGTACAGCTTAAGTAAATGATTTCGTCGCAAAGAAAATCTTCTTTGCTGATTTCTCTTTTTCTTATTCGTTTTCTTATTATATTAAATTTCCAATACATTTATTTAGAAAACCTGTATTAACACAATCTTCATTTATATTGACGTCGATTCTTAAATGATAAAAATAAATAGAATTATAAGTAGAATGGGTTTTGTGGAGATTTTAGAAATTTCACAGATTGAACTCATGAGTCAGTTGAAGCTAGACCACCATTGAAAACCTGGATGCCGGCTCAGTGGTCTAGTGGTTAAGTGCTCGCGCGCGAAGCCAGTAGGTTCTGGGTTCGAGCCCCGCGTGGTGCGGGATCGTGGATGCGCACTGTTGAGGAGTCCCATACTAGGATGAAACGGCCGTCCAGTGCTTCCAGGTTTTCAATAGTGGTCTAGCTTCAACTGACTCATGAGTTCAATCTGAGAATTATAAGTGTTATTTGTGCTATCACAGTCAGTTCTGAAATGATTTCATAATATTTTAAATCTAATTGAATTATTCCAAAGAATTAGATGAAATAAGTAGTCTGTAATTCAGTGACAACATGGTTCAACTGTTATTAAAAAGTTGCCAAACTCATTCAAAAGTGTAGAATGCTTTCTAGAATCTAAAGTCTTTTATTACATCCTTGATATGCCATTTATTCCTCCAGGATACTGGAGCCGATGTGCACCATTGGTTTGGAATCAGGGTTTTCCAACTCCCCTAGGTGGAATCTCCGTGTCCGCCAACCGGGTTAAAACGCCGGACATTCGGTTAATTATAAGAATCTCGATGTAATTTATATAACATTAAAATGAGTAGTCAGAAGTGTTACTAATACATCATTTCTTCGAAGACTAACTACCTTTGTTTCTAAATTATGTAAAGCATTTATAAAATTGAAGCAAAATTAATATCATGTGAGATAACCCGTGGTTTAATTCAACTACTATGCTAGTTTCAAACATCTGATCAGAAGACATTGATATTCTGTAAGGAGTTGTATTGGGGAATGCCGCATAAGTAAACTTATCAATAAATAAACTGAAACCAATATGGTAATGTATGTGACAAGCTTTATTAAATAAACATTTCAATCAACCATTATGGCTCATCAACGCTTCCAATCTTGAGATATCGTTTAGTTTGACAAATCCTGTCTGGTTAGCTCAGTCTATCATTGCAAGATCTAGCTTGAGTACTGACATGACAGAGAGAGAGAGAAACAAAACAACTTTAAACCTTACTTCATAAAGCATCACTTCATAAAAAAGATAATATCGGAACGATCCGAAAAATATTTTAAAATAGAAAAGAACAAGAATATGATTAATTATCATCTAAAATTAACACAAGATCATATTTCAAAAGTTCTGATGATTGATTATACTATAATTCCTCATACCTTTTCAAAACAGGAGGATACGACTGTTTCTTTGCAAAAAATCATCATTACTTAGTTGAGAGTGGATTTCTCGCTTCATCGAATAATTATATATTAAAATTTAGGAAAGTTATGTTCCAACAAAATAGTACTTCAGCATTTAGTTAGGCGATTTTCAATCTAATCTTACCTTTAGTTTATCTTATTTAGAACTTTTTAATCATAACGACAATATGAAATAAATTACTCGGTAATTGTTCCTATACAGCTTCTTGGTTTAGAACAAAAGTTGTTATTTATTCAGTACACATATTATACTATGCTAATCATCGTACTTATAATAAGAGTGAAAATAACTTGATCAGTTCATGAAAACCCCTAAAAACTGAGCTTAAACATCTCTGAATATAGAGACAAACAGTAGAGGTCTTAAATACTATTGTCTTCTTGTTGTGTTGTACGATTTCCGATTCCGATAGTGATACTCAAGCTTCCCATACATGAGTTCAACCGGCTATATGAATGGGAAGACCGAAAGTAAGAAGGAAACTCATTGATTAATCAAATAGGGAATGTCTCTTAGGTAATTATGCCACTAATAGTATATGTCTCATTTCTTAGAAATGCAAGCAATTTTTTTAACCATCATGTTCAACTATAATTCGGCCGATTTATGATAGGATGAATGTATCACTTCTGATATCTGGAAACAGTTCTCTAAATGTTACTTTTAGAATGGATAAAAAAATAATTCATTGAAAATAATAATACTATATGATTAATACAGAAAAGGCTATACTTGAAAATACATCTATTTGATCATTTTATCTTACTAGAAAAGATGACTCCTATTAAAAGAAATCAATTTCATCTTTATTATAATTTTTATTGTTCTAAACAAGGTGGGTATAAAGGATATGGTTTAGGGATGCTTGTTGAAATATTATGCGGCATCATTACAGATGCTGCATTTGGACCAAATGTTCGTCGATGGTTGTCAACTGATAAACCGGCTAATCTGGTAAGTTCACAAAGAAATGAAACTTCAAAGTTGCATTATATGTTTTGTTTGTTGCTAACTACTGATAGTTATCCGTACAAGATTGTGAAGATTGTTCTATTTGATTTATATCACCAACTTATTCAAGTTAGATAATCACTGAAAACGTGGGGATACAGGATGGCCGTTTTGTTCTAGTATTGGACTCTTAAGTAATATGTGTTCACAAATCCGCACTCCAGAATCGAACCCATGAACTTCAGTCTCGTAAATGAGAGACCACTGAGTCGGCATCCAATGGCATACATGCCTAACTTCAAGCAATCCACGCTATCATACGACCATCTTACTAGTAAGTATTATGCATGTGTGTAATTAACAACAGTAAGAATGTCGCTGTTTTCTCGACCAATTTACTATTTCCAAGTCAGGATGACATTGTATGTTAGTTATAAAATTTAATAGTATGAGCCATTCTAATTCCAGTGAGATTTATGAATCTATCAAATGACGGATCTTGTATTATGATCAGAGATTTTATGGCTATGAGTTAGGACATTGATTTGTGAGATGTACAAAAGTTAGAAATATTTGCCCACACATTTCTTCTAGTATGAATGTCAGAGATATCTAGTAGGCGATTTCCATATCTGACAAAAGATTTTAATTATGAGAAATATGAATTTATATCTTGAACTTCGTACTCACTGATAAATGATGGTTATTCAGCTACTATGAATTTTTAAAAATAAGACCGTTTCATTTATTTATTACCAACCATGTTATAGTGAGTCTTCATAAAACAGATGGGTAAATATTTCACTGTTCTTAACTAGACGATCATCAGATTATTGAGGGTTCAAACTTTTCAAATCAGACAAAATTACTGAAGTGTTTCGATATACTTTTTGTCAGTATGAGTCTGTGGAGATTGTTGAATTTCATTAAAATTAACAGCCAAAACCTGGAGGCACTGAACGGCCGTTTCGTCCTAGTGAGGGGATCTTCGGTGGCGCGCATCCACGATTCCACACGCAAGGTTCAAAGCCAGGACATTCGATCTGGCGCGTGAACACTTGACCTCCAAATCACTGACCCGTTATTCTGCAGTGTTAATGTATAACTCCAAGCAATCCTTAACATTGTACGATCATCTTTTATCAAATTAAGCGAGTCATCTAAATTTAGACCAGGCGATATTTTAATTAATTGATTATATTGAATTATATTTGAGCCACATTACAAACTGACTGAATTAGTAAACATGAGGCACTAAATACTGACCTAATGATTTGATGGGTGAATGTTTGCCAGGAGGCTTAAAAATCTTGCGCCAAATTCTGTGTTTATTCATGGATGAGCAGCATTGTTAGAGAGTCTTCGGTATATTTGAACTAAGTAGTTTGTAACTGTTTTTGGTTTTTATTGATTTTCTAGATAATGTCAATTAACGACGAAGGCTCTATTTAAAGAGAACTAGTTTAAATAGGCAAACTGAACAACAAGCAATAAATTAACCGATTTCTTGATGATTCAGTGTAAGTTTGGATTAAGCATGAATCATTATATCATATAATGATGATTAAAGACTTAAGACATAACATCTGATTGATATATAAATACCTAGTAATAAGTGTATACTTCATGAAATATGAATTTATGCGTTTTAAACTAAAGTTGTGTACCTCACTGATGAAGTTAAAGAGAGAACTTTAGTTTATATGGATTTTTCTCGAATTGAATTATTCCTCCTTGTCAACTACTAGTGTTCAGTACTTATAAAGAGAATATATATAGTTTACACATTTTATTAAATCTTTGAAAGTCTGCATATTTGGTAAATAAATCCGGAATTCTAAATTTACTTCATATATATTGGTTGTTTAAATCTTTTCATTGGCGTTTACGACTGCAACTGATCAGTCACTTTTTGTCATATGTACAACTTGTGCAGATTGACTTGATATTGCCCTTAAGTCACATTCATTATAAGCAAAGTCAGACGGTGGCTAACAGTGGAAGCCAAGACAAACGTCAAATCCTACTTGAGACTCATTAGCTGAGTGTATCTGGATATTAGATTTGATATTCACTTAAGGACTCGAACGCAGCACTGTTCACTTTGAACGCCATCGCGTTATTCACTTAGCTACTAAGTTCAGATAACCACTGGTTTGTTCATTGGGGTAAATTTTAATTTTAACGCATATATATTGGTTGTTTGGACCTTTCCATTAATGTTAAGGACTGTCTGAATACGTTTTAATGATTTTTTTCTTCAAAAATTATTAAATTATACTTATGTATGGTGTTCGGACTTTTGTCTTCATAAAATATGAAAGATATGATCTTAAAATTAGAAAATTATTTATGATTAAATCAAAGGGTTCTTATTATTTTATCTAAATACTACAGGGTCAATCATTTCTAGCCATCGATCCCAAAGCATTTGCTCCAGGATTTGAACAACGATTATCAGAATATGTCAATATTATGCGTAATTTACCACCGGTAAGATTCACATGTACATTAATGTATATTTGAACAATCTAAAATTATTTTAAAGTTCACGATAAGCACATTTAATTTAATTCATAATCTAACCTGCTATTTTATAGAAAACGTTTTTCAAATTTTATTAAGAACTGATATCAATGGAAATGTATATTTGGATAAACATACGATAAATAGAAATCTGTTATATCCTAGCAAAGATTGAATTACTAGTAACGTCTGTGACCTATTAACGGACTAATATTATCTGTATATTCTTATGGTATAAATATTCAGTAACTAGGTTGTATATATCTATACTCCCCTCATTATTATAAGCCTCATTTTGACCTATAGACTATTATTGTACGATTTACTGTCCATAAGTTATACTCAGTTTATTAATTACTGTCTCCCACGTACATAGCCACTTTTGGTTTATTTGTGTATGAATGTTATTTCCTATTTTATGGTGCGTTGCGGTCTGTTTGTTTGGTATATAAACCCAGTATGTCTGAAATAAATGATTCGCACAGTGGAGCCTGTTATTAGCATTCTGGAATCAGCTGGACGGGCTAGGCGAGCAAGGGATCAATAGAACGCTAGGCTAATCAGACCGGTCGGATGTCATTGGTTTAGTACAGAATAAGAATGAATACGTCGTATTTTGATTTGCGACTAGATTAAGTGATAACTAGCGGGCCATAAAGTCACAACAAAATCAGAGTTCAATTCGCTTGGTCTTGTTTGCTTGAATTTCCCCATTGATTTCTAGGCCTGCAATTGATCAGTCACTTTTTGGAATAGGTGCGTACTGTCAGGATCGATATTACATTAGGTCACAAGCATTTTAAGCAAAGATGGATAGTGGCTTGCAGTCAAATCCAGGACGCGCATTTCGTCCTATTTGAAACTCGTCGACTGAATGTACCTACATCCCTAGATTTGATTTTTACTTCGGGACTCGAACCCAGTACCGTTCGCTTCAGACGCCTTTGCGTTATATACTTACCTACTGATTCCTGACAGCCGCTTGCTTGTACAGTGGGGTGAACTTTAAATACACTTGGTATTGTTTGTTTGAAAGGACCCCATTGTGCAGTCTAGTGGCTATCAGGACCCAGTAGGTAAGTATATAACGCAGAGATTTAGATTCCCGGAGTGAACATCAGCCATAGGGATGGAGGTACATCTAGCTGGCGAGTCCCAAATGGGACGAAACACGTGTCTTGGATTCCGCTGTTAGTCATTATCCATCTTTGCTTAGAAATCAACATTTTTCATAATAAATGTTCCGTAAAATATGATAAAACTAATTAAATAAAGGGAAAAATAAATAAAATCATAATATATACAGTCTCTAGTATTCCAATCGTAAATATTGTTTTTTCTGTTATTCATACATTTTATGAGTGACACTAGAACTGCTAATAAATTTCTATAGACTTCATGAAGATTAGTACTGTTGGGTGTTTCGTAACTATGATCTATCATAAATGAATATTTATCTCTATGTGAAACGTTGGAAGGGATTGGCAAAGCAAGGGCATCATTCTTACAACTGAAAAACATATGGAACTCAAAACAACTGTCAACACACATCAAAGTCTGAATTTTCAATATGAATGTCGAGATAGTTCTACTGTACAGAGCTGAAAGTTGGAGAATTACCACAGCCATCATTAAAAAGTACAGGTAATAATAAATAGCTATCTACAAACAATACTCAATATCCATTGGCCGGACATCACCAGCAACAACCTACAGTGACAGAGAGCAAACCAACTTTCAGCTGAAAAAAAATTAGGAAAAGACTATGGAGATGAGTAGGATATACACTGCGGAAATTAAACTGCATCACGAAGTAAGCCCTAACTTCGGATCCTGGAGGGAAAAGGAAAAGAGGAAGACCAAAGGATGCATTGCTTAGGGAATTGGAGGCAGACATCAAAGGCATGGATAGTGCTTGGAAATATCTGAAAAGGAGAGCTCATGATAGAGTTGGTTAGAGAATTCTGATCGGCGGCCTATGCTCCATTAAGGGTAACATGTGTAAGTAAGTAATGTGCGACGTAGACAACCATCAAGCAAGTTAGAAGTTAGTTAGAGGTACCCGAAGCAAGATGTAACATTATTCTGTGAAATCACTAGTAATTGATATGATAGGTTTTAAAGTGATCCACACTTTTTGTTTAGTATTATCTATTATCTGTGAACGAACACTCAAATGGTATAACATAAAATCAATTATTGTCCAGTGGATCCATTTACATTTTATTCCATTTTGTATACTGAAAGTGGATATCAATTTACACTTTCCATGTCCGAAAGTATTCATAGCTCAAATAAATACTTTTGACAATGCTCAGTTCTCTATTCTATGAATTGAAACATTAGATTTTCCATCAAGTATAATCTGTGCTAATAATAAACTTTTACTAGTAAAGGTATAAATGTTACACCTGTTGAACAGGTTAGTACCTATACGTAAACATAGTGTAAGCTTAGTGAATTATGCAGTAGAATTTAAAATGAAAGATACTGGGTGGAAGTTTGAGCGTGGAAACCTACAATATGGTGAATGTAGTTGACGAGTCTCAAGTAAGATGAAATATCCCCCCCTGGATTCTATCACTGATCACAATCTATATATTCCATGGAAATTGTAATACCTCACTCTTGTTTAAGTCTTAACATTATAATATAATTAATCTTAAAATATTTAAATACCAACCAATATTCTATAATTGTAATTCAACCATTTCAATGATGAAATTTCTTTCATAATTTATTATAGAGCAGTTAATATGTGAACATAAACTTCTAATCAATTATTTTTAGGTGAAATACTATTCAATCTCCGTAACTATTTTTATAATGAATCACTTCATGTATTTTCTTCGTTATATTTAAGGTCAAATTTAGAAAATATATGGATTAGTAAAACAAATAATGCAGTACATGAGTACTATAAACACCCATTCCATTGACTAAATTATTTCTGAATTATTGGAAATACTTCAGAAATTAAGTAGTATTGTCTATATCAAAAAGTTATCGACATTTTATAACTAAAATGAGTTCATGATTGATCTTAGAAAATAGTATATAACAGTGGTTAGGCATAAAATGTATTTCAGAAGAAGATCGATAAAGAAAGAACGGAAACGGAACTCAGTTGGTATGAAATTGCACTTTTGTTCTTGTTCACTATACTAAGTTGAATGGGTTTTGATTAGCCTTTGTTGAATTAGAATTATTTTAGTATCATTGTAAAATAAATTAATAAAAGATTTGCATATGTATATTGATATGTATTTTGCTAAACGTTTTAGCTTATTATCATTTATTTATAAAAATACAATTTTAACTGGTAACATAATGTTAACAGACATATTTTATCAGTATAAGGTTGTGTAGATTGTTGAGTTGAGATTATGAACCGATCAATGTTCGACCACCATTCTAGGAGTTTTAGTGAGAAACTGTTATCAAAGAAGTTAACCATGTGAGGTGAGGCAGTTACCTATTGAAAACAAAAAAAGATGTTTGCTAAATATTGTGGATTGATTGAAGATAGACATTAACATCGTTGAATAACAGGTCAGTGGTTTAGAGGTTAAGCGTTCACGTACTAGATCAAATATCCCGGGTTGGAACCTCGTGTGTAGGATAGTGGATATGCACCGCTAAGGATTCCAATACTGAGACGAAACGGCCGTCCAGTGCTTCCGTGTTTCGAATGTTGGTCTAACATTAGTCGGTTTATAATGTCAACGAAACTTATTTTAGACAAGGTTTGAAGAATATATAAAATTTGTTACCTAATTCGAAGTAAGTATTATCGAAAGGTCACGAATCATAGGTGTTTAAGGATACTATTTGATTGATGAAATTCAAAACTATTCAGTTGATTAAAGATTTTGGCATAGAACATTAGATATTATTTATGATTGTTTGGAATCTGACTCAGTTTTTAATTTACTGTGCCGGTTGGATCCATCTGAGGTTGTTAAGAGCTTGAAATTGTGTTTACGATCCATGTTATTCATATTTCGAGGAAACCTTTACAGACAGAAAGGGGGTGTAGCAATGGGTTCACCAGTTTCTCTGATTGTAACGAATTTATTCATGCATTCCCTAGAAACTAGTGCGATCACAAAATGCGTATATCCACCCATGGCCTGGTTACGGCATGTAGATAACATTTTTATTAACATTAAACGGAATGGTCTGGAAAAATTGTTTAAAAATATAAACAGCATTTCGGAAAGTATCAAGTTCACAAAAGAAATAGAGTCCAATGACCATAAACCAGCGTTTATAGATTGTTTGATTGAACGAAGACATAATAATAAGTTGAAAATAAATGTATTCAGGAAATCAACACATTCTGAGAGATTCTCAGATTCTGATTCAGCTCATGCGTTTTTACGAAAGTCACAGTGGTGAAAACTTTAATTAACAGGAGTATTAATCTCGTTACAGATAAAAAAGACCAACAGGTTGGATTGATTGGAGCTTTTTCTACGCTTAGCGATAACAATTACCCTAAATGGTTTTTAAAGAAGATTATTAGAAATGAAAAAAAAACTAAATTAGAATGTATACCAAAAGGTTGGGAGTCCACTGTGGTTATCCTATATCGTAGTGAAAAATCAGAAGAAATTAAGAGGATTCTAAACAAACATGATATAATAGTGTATTTTCGTGATTGTGGCACCATAAGATCAGCATTAATGAAGGTTGATGATAAATTCCCAAAGGATGAACAACAGAATATTGACTATGAAATCAGCTGTCGTGACTGTAATGCAGCGTATCTGAGCGAAACTTCGAGACAGTTGAATGTGAGGTTGAAGAAACACAAACAATGTTTGAAAAATGTTCCCAAATCCTCGGTTGATCTAAAGAAACTTGAGAATGGGTCGGCGATAGCGTTACGTGCATTAGAAACAGGACACAAGATCAATTTTGAAGGGACCAAAATACTTCAAGAAGGTTTTAGCACACATAGAGATTGACAGCAGAAGCGTTGTATATATGGGCGAATAAGAACAGTCTGAACAGAAAGGATGGTATTTGACTAGCAACTACTTGCCGAATATTTGTTAACAAGTAGTTGGACGCCTTCTCTATCCAACCTATTTATTTCACATGCATCGTTATTCTGACTGAAGTTAATGTAGGTTATTTTAACAATACAATTATGCATTTTCAGAAGGGGTTTTGTGGAGATTTTAGAAATTCCACTGATTGAAATCATGAGTCGATTGAAGCTAGACCACCATGGAAAACCTGGAAGCACTGGACGACCGTTTCGTCCTAGTATGAAACCTCTCAGCAGTGAGCATACACGATCCCGCACCCCAGTTGGATGCCGGCTTAGTGGTCTAATTGGTTAAGCACCTGGCGCGAGACCGATGGGTCCTGAGTTCAAATCCCGTGGGGTGCGGGATCGTGTATGCACACTGCTGAGGAATCCCATAATAGGACGAGACGGTCGTCCAGTGCTTGCAGGTTTTCCATGGTGATCTAGCTTCAATCGACTCATGATTTCAATCAGTGGAATTATGTATTTGATGATTCTCACTTTAGATGCAAATCGGTTATTCAGAAACAATCTTTTCAACCTTCAACATTAACTTTTATTTTATCTTCATATAAAAACCAATATAACACTTAAAATCAACTCAACCTTACACATACCTGCATACACACACAATTCATTCAGTTATTCTGACCTTTTCACATGATTCACATTTAACTAACTTATGGAAATTCATTAGCCCCACGGCATTTTTTTTAAAACCCCCCCACCCACCCTTTTTAAAACTTATGTTATCCTATTTACTAAACCCAACATACAAATATGATTGGATTAGCCTAGTATAGATTTGATTCGATTACTAAAAGCTATATATTTCTTTGATGATTTTGGTTTTAATTATTACTCTGAAGAAGTTCAAATAAGTTAGCTGGATGAAATATTGGAATTATTTTAAATTTCAATCGCTGAACTTATTTCAAATATCATTTTTACTTATAATAATCAAGTGTAGTTTTTCATTAGGCTACTGATTTACACTAAAACGTCACTGACCGCTTCTGCTACTAAATTATTATGGAACACTTTATAAACTACACAAGGTTTATTTTTTTTATTTTTTATTTATTTATTGACATTTTTACTGACTATGTGGTGCGTGCTACTTATATTGATATAAATAGTATATGACGTGAGTCAGGAATGTTATGTCTGGTGGCAGAAGATGGGGAAGATCGAGAAAGGAAGAGCGGGAATAGAAAGCAATTAGTATGGAAATGCAAGAACAATGAAGTTCGAGATAATTACTGAACATTTTGCGAATTAAGTATTATAGTATTATAGTCTTTCTATTTAACCAAGTAACTGTAATTTTGTGCTAAATATGTATTTCGGTTGTCCGTCCTCACCTGTGTTCCCCTTCACTACAACTGGATTCCTATGATATAAATTTCCGTAATCATTAACGAGATTATTATGAAAAACAATATTGGATATTGCAGTAAACTGACTGGATCTAATCACAAGAGATCGATTCTTATGCTAACGCTTTACGCTGAGATTTATTACACATACTTAAAAGAAAAAACAAGGTACCATTTTAACGTTAACTGAATAACTCGTTGGTGTTAAAAAAAATGAAGCCACTGGGTTCGAATACTGGGATAAATATCAACTCTGGTATGTGGTTACAATCAGGTGAAGAATCTTGAATAAGACGAGAAATCCGTTCTGAGTTCTGCTACTAACCACAATCCATTTATTCTACATAAACTTGATTTATAATGACCATATTGAGGGAATCTACACTGAATGCACATATATAAATTGAGATTGATTATAACTATTGAAATGCTGAAGAAAAAAAACATTTTTATTTAAAATTGATATGATTGTTTTGTTTCTATAATCTGTTTAAAAATACCAGGTTGACAGTCAGAAACCTGTGGTAGTTCCTGGGGATTTTGAAAGAGAGCATATGAAAGAATGCGATGAACTTGGTGGTATCCCATATCCTCCTGTATTGATTGAGAGTTTAGTAAGTTTGTCGAATATCAAAATATTAATAATAATAATAATAATAATAATAATAATAATAATAATAATAATAATTGTTATTATTATTATTATTATTAATTCAGTATATGATGTATATTGTAACGATGATTCCATTAAATGTGACTACTATTACTGTGGTGGTAGGACTAAATCGTTACAATTCTTTTAATCTACATCACTGGCTGATCATAGTAAAACGACCATTGAAAGGTACGAAGTATAAAACTCCTCGGTATTGCGTGTTGAAGACCTCCATTAGGAGTTGAACTCATGTCTCTCTGAAATAGCTTGAAACTTAAACAGACAAGTCGGTGTTCAGCAGTCTTCAGTCCTAACTCAAATCAGTCTACAATACTGCTCAATTATCATTTAATGACAGTGGTCAGTAACTGTCTTACTCTCGATATGATTAAACTCTATTAGTCACAGATTCTTACTAGAGCTCTAGGAATTACAGTGAGAGGCTTTTCATAATGGTTTCGAGTATTCGTGTGTTTTTTTATTCAGTCTTTCAGAAGTTTAATTCCGTAGTCGTTATAATAATCTTGACAGATTATAGCAGAAACTCATTGATTTCTTTCACTACATATTGGGATAATCCTGCTTTATCGTTTAGAAAAAAAACTAAGATAGTTTAGTTCCAGGTTTTCCATGGTGGTCTAGCTTCAACTGACTCATGATCTCAACTATTAAAATAATATAAATAACTCGACTAATTTATAAAGAAAATTGACAGTCAATTTCAAGTATAGTCAATATTCCCATTGTTATTGTCCTGTTTACGAATTGAACATACTAAATAAAATAATTGTTTACTTATCAAATTGAAAATCACAACAACTGACCCAATTTTGTTTTATTCAAAGTCTAATCTGCCACCAAAACTTTGTATAGTAAGATATTGTGAAATAGTATACAACAGAATTCATTTTTTCACTTTAGAGATAGATAATCATTTTGACCATTATCTCTAATAGATTAATACATCTAACCATTTGTATACTTTTATGGCGTAATGTATCATCCAATGGGTGTTGCTAAAGTTAAACATTAGGGTTCTAAATACAAGTGGTAATCTAGACTAATGTTACAATAACCGTTTATTGATTAAATTGATTAGAACATATATTACCCTTTCATAGTCACTACCCACCCCAACAGATAATGCTGACTAGCATAGTAGGAGGTAGAAAGAATACTAGTATCTGCCAAACCAAGATATGGGCATTAGTTTGTGAAAAAAAATCTATTAAACCGATTCATATGGATAGATTTACAGACTTCCTAGTTAAAATACTACAGATGATTATAATTTATTATTTGAGACATTGATCTGAAATCCATTGAGTTGGTGAAATTGTCTTTACTAGTATAGGAGTTGTGGAGATTATTAAGTTTTTGATTGAGATCATGAACCAATTGATGTTAGACCATCACAAATGAAAACCTGGAAGCACTGGACGGCCGTTTCATCCTATCATGGGACTTCTCATCAGTGCTCATACACGATCCTGCCTCTCGAGAGTCGAACCTTGGACCTATCACTCTCGCGCACGAACATTCAGTCAGTCAGTTACAACGTAGGACCAGGCACATGCATGCATCAGTCCAAGTTGCCACACTTCATTAGCACAGCAAGACGAACTCCGGATTCATAGAAGCAATTAATTCACTGGTGTAATATATAAAGGAAAGATTTTATGTAACAATATAGTACATAAAGAAAGAATTAGTTCGTAGAAAGAAATAAGTCAAATAATTTTAATCTCATAGTTTAAAAAAAGAAAAAGAGTGTATACACCTACGCCATTGTGATCAATTCTGAGCCATGTTACCCACAGTCTCCAATCATTGGTTACGATAGTCATGCGAACTCCAATCAAATATTCAGCATCTACCAACATGGCTCAGACTTGAAGTTAATAACTTCAAGGACGAACGCTTAATCTCTAGATCACTGAGCTGGCATTCAATAATTTCCATTTATACTAACATAATTCTTATGTATTATATCTATTTCTATATCATCTTTGCTTACATTTATTCTTTTTGTTTTGTTTTTTTTCTCTCTTTAAAGAATCGTTTAGCTGATCAATTAAAAGTTGATAAAATGAAAATAATCAAAATTTTATAAACACAAATTACATTTTCTATTAATCACAGTTGACAAACTCCTAGAAATTCAATTAAGTTTTTTCAGTAGCTCTTTACCTTCAACAAGAACAACTGAATACAAAGAATACTAGTATACTTTTTTTTGTATGAGACATTCTGTAATGTTTGGTCTGTTTGCTTAATTTTTTCCTGTACAAAAATAATTTAACACTTAAGGTGATAGATATCATCTTACTGATGTTTAGTTTCAATGATTTCACTTGGATAGATTTAATTTATGACAATAATGGTACAATTTGTTTTTTTCTACATTGATTTTAATTAGAAATCTGATGATACACTTATTATAACTTGTGATATGTGTGCCCTAACGACACCGCTAATTAGAGAGCAGTGAATTATCAATCAGACTAATGACGCATAAAACCATTACGAGCAGTCTAGAGTCCTTATCGCTCCTGTTTTCTGCCTAGCCTAGTCAGTTAAGTCCAGAACACCAATCTCAGCCTCTGCAATATGAATCATTTATTTTAAAAATACTGGGTTTATATACAAAACCAAACAGACCAAAACGTACTGTAAAATAAGAAACAACAATTGTACAAGTTTTAGCCAAATGTGGCTGTGAATGTGGTCTAGAAACAAGCAAAGTAGAAGATGATGATAATGGAAAGCAAAAGCGTACTTCTTTTTTTTGTAGAAATGGAAGAACGTGACACTTCTAAATTAATTGTTTAAAGAAGGAGAAGCATTACATGTCAGATTACAAGTTGGTCTGGTAATGATATTCGACTAAATGCCTTCAACTATTTACTGTCCATTAAAATTGACAACGTCAACCTCATTGCTGAATGCTTACAAAATCTATTCGTTTTAGAGAATTATTTACCAATACATAGCCTTTAGAAGTTATATAATTGATTTATTGGCGATAGTTGTCAAATGACGTTATATTTGTGAAACATAAAACTTGTTTTTTCATAACATTTTCAGCTACTGAAAGTTAATTTAAGTTTAATGTCAATAAACGTTTGATGACTGTTTCCATGACCATGACTGTTTATAACATAAATAGATCAGTTGTATTGTGGTGTGAGCTACTTACATCCATATAAGCAGTATATGACGATAGTTAGGAAAAGAATATATTTCAGTAGAAGATCGAGGAGGAAAAAAACGGGGACTGAAAACAATCGGTGCGAAAATTCAGGAACAGTCAAATCTGGGACGATGGACTGGTATTTGCAAAATAAATCGTCAAGTGTGAGACAATAAATTGATATTTTGCAAATGAAGTCTTGTCCTTTAATTTATGCACAATCTTTGAGCTGTACAAAGGTGACCTTGAGAAACTTCAACCATTTATCAAAGTTAGAAATTAAAACGAAGAATTACGATTAAGGACTAAGGTTAGAAATTAGGGTTAAGAATTAGAGTCAAAGTAAACCATACAAATTAACATTAGCTATAATGCCAAAATCTTACTTAACTATAGAGATGAATCAATTCCGCTCAGGAATTCAAGAACCTCTTTCTTGAATTTCATTGATAGATTATAATCCCATCCTAGAAGTAAGATATTTTAGTTAAATGATCCATATTCTTTCTCACTATATTTAGTGTGATTATTTGTGATAACAGTCAGAATCGGTTACTAAGATTAATTTTTGTATTTATACACAAATAAATATGTAACACTGACTCTTCTACGCGTACCATTTAAATTCAATGAGTTAGAAGTTAAATAAGGTTTTCAAAGCCTAGAATAGTCACCAGTTCGCAAATCATCCAAGATTCATTTATTAATACATATTAGACAAATTAACTGAATTCACTAATGACTCCATCGAGTAAATAAAGATGATCCAAACTCATGACTCGTGATCTCAACTATTAAAATTACTATAATATCCACAAAACCCTTTCTGATATTAATTAACATATGCCACTAGTGACGGTTTCGAAGAGATATTTCCTGGAGTTCTAGGGAGAAGCAGTGACCAGTGGAGTTCAACTGGGTCAGTTGTGAGATAGTAACTCACTGAAGACAATGGCGGACCGTGACTCAGTTTCGTGAATTAGTTGAAGTTAACTATTAGCACCGTTGGATGCCGGCTTAGTGCTTTAGAGGTTAAGTATCCGCGCTCGTTACCGATATGTCCTGGATTGGAATCCCGCGAGTCGAGATCGTGGACGCACACTACTGAGGAGTCCAATACTATGATGAAACGGTTATCTGATGCTTTTAGGTTTTTCATGGTGGCTGATTTCAATTGACTTATGATTGCAACTATTAAAATAAACAGATTTAATTTAAAAAATATAAATGTAAAACTTATACCTCACCTCTGTAGTAAATAATATATCCTACGTTAAATAGTCAACAATTCAAAACTGCTTGTAGGATTGTTAATGTTATCACACAGTAGTCAACTAACAATATACGTAAAATTAATTCGTTCAGATTTTTGAAATGTTTATAAAACTAAGGCTTTCATCTGATGGATAACAAATATGATTGTAATCAAAAGCACGTAGTTTCTCATTGGAATTAGAAAATATCAAACGGTTACATTTAATCTGTGAGTCCAAATTTCAATAAACATATGATCGAAACAGGCCATAAGATTGATCTTAACTCGGCTTTTGTGCTGTTGTACAAAAGTGTAAGAGGGAGTACACTAAGGTTTATTGAAGCCTTAGCCATACGAAAATTCGAACCCCCCCCTAGTGTGTATTCATCAAAAACAATTTGTTCTCACCTTAAACCTACCCTACTATTATTGGTTTATTATCCAGAGTGATTAGGTTTCAAATGGTGTTCACATTATTATTATTACTCTGATAATCTTCGTCCAATGTTAGTTTTTTATCAAAGTAACTAACATCTAATAGTTATTATCTGTCATCAATTTACTGTTGCTTAAGTAAACCACTTCATATTCATTCTTTTTCAGTCACGCAGAAAATGTTTTGATATTATCTGCTGATCACAGTAGTCTGTAACAAAATATAAAAGGGCCTAACAAGCTCTTTCATTCTACTTTAAAATATCTCGGCAGCACATATACAGAATTTTGATAAGTGATTAAACATACGACTTTCAATTCTAATAGTAAGCGCATAATCTTTAAACCACGCTATCGTGATCCAATAACCCATATTTCCAACACTAGTTTGTATCTTTTCTAATATACACTATTAATATTAATAAATAGTTCAAAAGTAATATAACTTTCAATGGCTAAGATTATGAATCAGTTGAATCTAGACTACCGTGGAAAACCCGAAGTTCAACCAGGTCTGTTGTGAGATAGTAACTCACTGAAGACAATGGTGGACCATGACTGAATTCCGTGGATTAGTTGAAGTTAGACATTAACACCATTTGATGCCGGCCCAGTGGTCTAGTGGTTAAGTGCTCGCGCGAGAGACCAGTAGACCCTGGGTTCGAATCTCGCAGGGGGGCGAGGTCGTGGATGCGCGCTGCTGAGGAGTCCCACAATCGGACGAAACGGCCGTCCAGTACTTCCAGGTTTTCCATGGTGGTCTAGCTTCAACTGACTCATGATCTTAACCATTCAAATTACTATGATCTCCACAAAACCCATCTGATAATATAACTTTGTTATAAAAAGTTATATTTACTACATTCTTTTTACTCAATTCATTTTCATTATAGGCTAATATTCATAAGTAGGAAAAATATGATCAAACAATATCTAATTAATGTTTATCAAAATCTATTACTTCAAAAGAAAAAGAAGTAACTCAAGCTTAACCATGGATACTTTGGAATTATTATTTATTCATATAAAGTATTTAAAAAATCAATTCAACTTAAATCTTGGTTCCATCATTAATACTTAGCAACAAAGTTGATTATGAATAAATTTAATTCATCATTAATCTAAACATATTTGTTATAGGATTCATTTAAAGTGAATAGTTTAAAACACAATATATCATCTTTACTATAGAATGAAAATACATTATCTTAAAGAGAGAAAGAACAAAGATTGTTGCAGAATAATATGAATTCTTTTATTTCTTGAAGTTCTCATCAACTGCTTACAACCTAAATGATTTTGAAATCAACAGATATTGACATACTTATACATAAGAGGGTGATTAAGGATGAATAAATGTATCATGGTGTAGCAAAGATTCCGATAGAGTTAATGAGATCAAAAAGGTTTGTCTCGAATAAATAAAGTTTGAGAGGGAAAGTTCCAGAACATTAAATTAGTGAATAGAACTCATAAAAATAGATTAATGGTAATAAAGAAAAATATGAATTGAAATCAGTCAGTTATATATGATGTAATTTAAACTTCAGAAAAACCTGGAATAATGACGCAATAAATAAATAAATAAAAAGGGGAGTATTGTTACCAGGGTAAACAAAGATTTATTACTGTCTCTTTTTGTATACATTAACCTATACATTATATGAACAAGAAGAAGAAGAAGAAGAAGAAGAAGAAGAAGAAAAAAGGAGATTCATTCCTCTAATAGTATAAATACTCATTTTATTTTGATTTATTTTGATCATTCCATTCCATAATTCTAATTTTTGCTCTATCAATTAATTGTTTACCTAATTCAATTTGTTTTTGTTTTATTTTATTGAAATAATCTTTATTAGAATAGTTTATAGATAATTCAATCAGTAAATTTTGTATAATGCTATCTAATTCTATTGGATTTACTTCAATGATTGCATTCAATTCATCTAAATTTAATGTATCAATAAAAGTAAGATATTTGAACATTGGATCTAATTCTTCTTGTTTTAATTCATTTATTTGAATTTCTTTTTCTGATAATGTAAATTGTTCATTTTGTTTCTCATGTTGCTCTTCCTGTTTTTGTTGTTGTTGCTGTTGAATTTCTTTCGGAATATTATCTGGTTTATAAATTTTTAACCATTTTGTTACTTTTTCAGGAAATAATTCAGAATATTTTGAAATAAATTTAAGTGGAATAGCTTCAGATAATGGAGCTGGCCATACGGAATCTGTTGATGTTTCAAATGTTTCCAATAATGTATCAAAATAAAGTGGACAAGGAATTTTTATCTATCATAGAAGAAATAAAATAAGAATACATATAAAGTATTTGAGATTAATAATCACTGGTTGAAATCAGGAGTCAATTGAAGCCAGACCACCGTTGAAAACCTGGAAGCAGTGGTTAAGCGCTTGCCACAAGACTGATAGGTCTTGGGTTCGAATCTCGCGGCGGGGCAGGATCGTGGATGCGCACTGCTGAGGAGTCCCATACTGGAACGAAACGGCCGTCCAGTGCTTCCAGGTTTTCCATGGTGGTCTAGCTTCGATTGACTCATGAATTCAACTTTTAAACTACTATAATATCCAAAAAACCTCTCTGAGTTTTAAGGAATGTTAAGTTAGTAGTCTAAATTTACTGGTAGGCAATAATAATATTGAATAATTGAAATGAATATTGACTATTTAGATAATCTTGATAGAAATATTATTTTCTGTTGAGTTATTCAGGCATTATATTGATCATCTATTTCGTTGCTTCTAGATCAACTTCGGTTCTTATTATCAGCCAGAATAGCGAGTACAAGTATCACAACTGAAGAAAATGAATATTTGGAATACGAAAACACTGTGATTTGTACAATTCAAAGAAGAAGCAAAAGTGATGGCACATGAAGGTTTTCCTCAACTAAATACTCTTATTTGCATATATATATATATATATATATATATATATATATATATATATATATATATATATATATATATATATAAATCACAAATAACAGGAATAGGCGAACTACAAAATCGGCTTTATGCAAAATTATCGCAAAATTTATCCGGCATGTTATACTGATTGAAATTTACACTAAATTCAGATAAAAGAATGTCATACTATTTCAAAACGAATGTTATTGTAGATAAACGACCTAGTTGGGGTCCACGAGATGATAACAACCGATGGTTAGAAACCTTGAATGACATAGCTCGAAATCGTTTACAATGGCACAAGTGCATCCACTCTTTGTGTTCTCCCAAATAATAATCTCCTTAATTCTTCTTATCTCCTTTTTTCTCTTTCCAAATTTATTTCACTGGATTATGCTCCTTAAATAACATCTTCAAACATTGATGTTTCCGATTACTGCCTATACTCTTGCAATCTCTACCACTACGGGATTTGAATCGACAATTGTCTCTGTGTGCTAATGTGATATGGCAACACGAACTGATGTACGTACGTACGAAGTTCTACGTTGTTGACTGACCGACTGACCGTCACAACATTCAGTAATAAGTATATGAATTATATTTGTGAAAAGAGATTAAATTGACTAGACCAAATAACGATAACAATTCTAAAATCTTTGATTATTGATTCGAGGTGTATAAATAGTTCTTCCTTATCTCTTGTTTATGAAATTCAGTATAATACAAATCGAAATTTGAAAAATATCATGGTGAACTGAATGATCTTATTCTTCTTTTAACTACAGTAATTTTCACTACATACTATTTGTTTTCCCTCTTTATAGTGTATTATTTTGATTTTTAGCTGTCTTATTGTTGGAAACGTTAGGTTCCCAGAACTCACTTCGGAGAGGACCTAATACTGTAACTTTATTTAGAAAATTTTAATTTGTTTATTTTTGCGCCCGAAGGCACTCTTGTCACCTTCATGTCGTATTTTCCACTGAGAAATATCTCAAATGCTATTGGTTCGTTGCGTTTTTTAGTATGCTGTTTGGTAACTCTCCTCTAGGACGGTTTTGTACTGCATATATACGTTTTGAATTGTGTTTGTTGTTATCGCTCGTTTTCTGGCTGTTTGCATAATATACTTCCCCACTCCAAGTTTGGACTTCTCCTTCTAGGTAGCGGGGCTGGGACGCTTACTGGTCTTTGGTCACTGAGTCATGTTTCTCGTTCGCAGATTAAGTGAACTCGTGATAGCTTCAATCCCAGCACTTATTTTTTACTTCTAAGATTTAGTGAAATTAATTCGCTGACCCACGTATGAACTAATCCCTTCGTTGTTATTTATGTTCAGCTATTTATATTATTTTACATATTTCGACATTGACATCAGCTTCATCATCTTATAATAATAACTCGTACTGTACCATTAGTTCTCACTCTGCATGTACACCATGGTAACTTTTATTGTATATTTTATTAAATTGTAGACTGTCTAAAACAATCTCGTACAAACCATAATATCATGTAACACTGGAACTTGGGATAATTCTTTGTTGCAATGATTTATTTACAGCTTTCGTTGCTCAATAGTTATACCGACCATTAGCTCTAAATGAAACGAACAAACATTTCAGATGGAGTTATTATTTATTTATATATTTATATATGCGCCACACAAATCATTGGATTTTTATGAGGGCTGGAATACTGCACGGGTGCTAACACCGAAGTAAGTGGTTTTCTTAGGCTACCACACTCGGAGCCTTCGACCTAAAGGTTCCATCCACAAGGAAGTGGGGTGACGTCAGGAGATGTAGTCCCATGGTGACCGATAACAGGTTCATACTACGTCTGTCCCCTCAGGATCATGGAGTAATGTGCATCATTGGTTTAGAATCAAAGTTTTCCAACTCTCGTAAGTGGACTCAAAATGTCCACTAACTCGGTTAAAGAACCAGACATTCTCTTTTTGTCCTCTCAATTTCGTAAACAATAGTAATGTCTCAAGAAGGCAATGAATAGGAATTCTCTGACAGTGACTGTATACACGTGACCATATGAGAGCATTTGAAGAACAAGATCTCACTTTCCCTCCACCCTCGATCGTATCAAAGCATTCGAGGACATATCTTAACATACAAAGATTTTGTTAAAATATTTCTTAATAATTTATTTAATCACATCTTTCACTCACTTCTTTCATAACTGAAATTATAAACGTTTTACACTGTAACTATGTTTCAAGAATGCCAGTTTCACACTTGATCTTACGTTCAAGTTATTAGATCATCTTTAAATCATACTTTTACATAATTAATAATAAATATCAGTAGGGGGTTTGTGGAAATCGTAGTAATTTCAGTAGTTGAGATCATGAGTCAATTAAAGCTAGACAACTATGAAAAACTTCAAAGTACTGGCTGGCCATTTCGTCTTATTATGGGATTCCTCAGCAGTACACATTCACGACCAGGTTTTCTATGTTAGTCTAGTTTCAATTGACTCATAATCTCAACTATTGTAAAACTAAATAACAAAATGATATATGTATATTACTTAAATACATTTTAAGTAGTTTGTTCATATTAGAAAAATATACAACTTACTAATTTTTGATTTATTGCTGTATATGGTCCAAATACTTTCTCTAATAAATGATGTTTATTTAAAAAATGTTTTGAAAAATATTCTATTAATAATTTTGCCGCTATTACATCAAGATTAAATAAATAACCGGTAAATTGTTTTTCAAATTGTATAAGATTCATTTCATCATTATTGTTATTATTATTATTATTATCATTATTAGTTGGGTTGAACGTAGATGATAATTGAAATAATGATTTAAAAAAACGAACTGATCCTATTAAACATGTTGTTTTATTCGTTTTCATTAAATTTTCATTATTTTGATTTATTTCAATTTGATTATTATATAAATGTTTATTTGCTAATTGCCATAATTGTAAATGACGTAATAATATATAAGCCATTGTAAAACTAATAATAATACATAATAATTTTTCTATATTTATATTATTATTATTATTATTATTATGAGTATTATTATTAATAGTATTTATATTGATTAATGATTGAAACATTGAATGATGAATTTTATATTCAATAGAATTGAATTTATTATTTTGATAATTATAAAATTCATTAATCCATTTTGTTGTTGACCATTGAATACATTCAATAAAATAATTAATTAATGCTGAATCCCATAATGATATTTTAAGTTTTAATTGATTAAAATCATTATTTATTATAGAATTCATTAAATCATTTTGTTGATTGATTAAATCAATTTTTATAAAAGAATCAAATGGTAAATTTGGTCTTTTTAATAATAAATTTGATTCTTTTAAATAATTTTGTATTTCTAATTTAAGTTGTTTATCATTATTTAAATGATTGAAAAATTTTTCAGCTATATCTAATGATAAAATTAAAAATAATTGATCGGTTGTTGTAGAATGATCATTAAGTTCAATTTCATTAGGGGATTTTTTATGTTTTAATTTTGGTGTTTTCATTTAGAAATAATGATCTATAATGTAAAATAAATATTATTAAGTTAATAATTATTTATTTTACTAGTTGAAATTATGAGTCGATTGAAGCTAGACTACCTGGAACCACTGGATAGTTGTTTCTTCCTAGTATGGGACTACTCAACAGTGAGCATTCACGATCCCGCCCTCCGCACGATTCGAACTCAAGACTTATCAGTTTTGCGAGCAAGCACTTAACCATTATACCTTTGGGCCGGCATTCAATGGTGTTAATATCTAACTTGAACCAATCCACAAAGTTGCACCACCGTTCACTATTGTCTTCGATGAGCTGATATCACACAACAGACCTGGTTGAACTTTACTGGTAACGGCTTCAGTGGTCTAGTTGGCTAAGAGCCTGGAGCGAGACTGGTAGGTCCTGGGTTCGAATCTCGTGGGGTGCGGAATCGTGGATGTGCACTGCTGAGGAGTCCCACAATAAGACGAAACGGCCGATCAGTGCTTTCAGGTTTTCCATGGTGGTCTAACTTCAATTGACTCATGACTTCAACCAGTGAAATTTCTAAAATCTCCACAATACCCCTTCTGAAAATATTTACAACGTTTGAATTTCAATTCAATCATGTGATATGTGCTACTTATATTGACATAAGTAGTATATGATGCAAATCAGGAATATAATGTCTAACAGAAGAAGATTATAAAGATTAAGAAATAAAAAATTGGAATAGAAAGTAATTAGTATGGAAATGTAAGAATAATGAAGTACGAGACAATTATTGAATATTTTGCACATAAAGTATTATAGTATTTTTCTTCTATTTTACCAAATAACTGTACTTTTTTGTTATGTATGTAATTCAGTTTTTCTCACCTGTGTTCTCCTTCACTACAATAACAAGACTATATTGATAATTTCTGTTAACAAATGTGTTAAATTTGACACTTAATTGATATAAAAGGTAGGAATATACTAATCTCTAGCACTATATTACAGACAAATCATACAAACAAATTGGTTTCACTTTCATAACTACATTATCAATTAAAAGGTATGGTAATGTTCGCGGTTAATTAAAAATGTAAACATGAAATTGTAAAGCTATATGCTTAACCTTGTCCAGTTTTACATAGTGGCTACAGTCCATAAGAAACTTAATGTAAACAAAATCTTAAAGTTTGAAAACTTCTCTAGTGTATGAATTAGCTGTTCAACTTTAATATGGACGTCAACAATATTGAGTGTCACAAAAATTCCTCCAAATGTGATGGACAATTAATAATTCTGGAGATTTTCAACTTGCATGCAACAATCCCCATAGGTCCCTCACTGCGTCTTGTTTTCCTGGTTGAGAATTCGCTGTATTATTCATGTGTCTCTTTTCAGCTCGATTCACCGTAAATGAGTAGTGCTGGGAATAAACCCATAATTGAATTAATAAAACCCTCTTTCCTATGTAAATTTAAGACGAAGTTCGAGACATAAATTATTCATGTTTTAATCCAAAAGAAGAGTATCATCCAACATACTATGTTCCATATAAATCGTTCGACAAGCATCCCGAAAGCATAAGCTATCGGAGTAGGTCGTAAAAATAAAGTGTCAGATAATACAACTTCCAAGTACTTAATCTCATTTTCACTGAGGATAATTCCATATGTTTCAATAAAGGCAGGAACTTGATAAAAGAATCTAATCTACTTGAAGACGTTACTCAAAATACCCTTCGGGGACCTAACGGAAATGCCTCCAGTTTGGATTATGTTCTCACTAAGAAGGTGGTATTTATTCCAGATCGGTTATCTTATATCCAAACAGATGCATAGATTATGTTATGATACCATCTAACACTTATCCAACAGAACCTATAGTTGAAATAATTTCGAACAGAAATTGTCATGATATATGCTAAGATGGCAGCATCGCAACACAAAAAATCCCAATGTTGATCTAAAACGCTTAAAGCTGAACCGTTTCGAGTCGTTGGTACTTATGCATTAGTTTGATTAATATAGACTATACACTTAGAAGTACAGTTAGCTACTACATGTCTCCAAAGTGTACTGTCACATAATCCAGCCCTTTGGATTTTGGATAAAGATGTATTTATGCATTTCGTTCTCAAAAAATAATAAACAATATTAGAAATATAATGTCAATAAACAACAATCTAACGTTAAGATATAGAAAGTCATAATCTTCAACCCACTGAACGATGGATGCATTTGTTCTAGGGTGGTGAGATTGCTAGGACCATCAGGTATCACATTACAAAGCAGTGGTTGTGGTTTCCTCAGCAGGCACAATAGTGAGTTTAAAACTAAAATCTTTTTGAGTTAACGTGAAGTAGATACTACTTTATGCACTTATCAAATCCTATTCATTTTTCTGTGATCTAGTACTAGATCACTCAAGTGAGTGCTCTCACATGTATGCAATCTACGGTGATCACCGTAGTCGGTGTTATCGATAACACCGACTCCAATTGAAGTCGTCCGCCTATCTCTTTGTCTCACGGGTTACTTTTCAGTGCACTTACATCATTTTCTCAAAACGATTCGTGGTTTTTTTTAAGAGAGGTGATGGTAAAATGTTGTGAGGTTCGTTATGTGGGCAGATGTAGGTCTTAAGTAGTGCCAGGATTTAAAAGTCACCGTACCTAGTTGTATTTAGATGAAGCTAATAACTGATTTTTATGAAGTCTTACATTTCAAACAATTTCCTTATCTTCCTCAAAGTTCCTTACAAAAACGATAAATCTATGCATTTTAAACGATACTTCAGAAGTCCGCGATCTCGTTGTCATGGTTTAGAATTCAATATTCAATATTTTTGTGACAATGTATCAGCTTACGACTAGCTAGATGGCACTTTGTGTACAAAATAAGAATGAATCATGTTAAATATTCAGTCTCATTTTCAGTTGCTTATAAAAACTAATTAACTTTTTTGTGCTCATTTCTTTTTTTCTGTACGGTACTGACTATTCCCTAATGAGTTTGAAACATAGGAACGAAAAAGAAAAGGTAAAAAGTTATCCGGTTACTCATCCAGCGCACAAAGTTCGCCTGTAATTATTAGGAGAAGCAGCAAAAACAACAGCAATATTGCAAACAGTAGGTTATAACGACCTGAGAATCGGAACTGGAAGTAGATAATCTCGGTTTTTAAATCCGCTACGGACTAAATTATTTAGTTTGTTAGCGTCCATTTCCCGGTTTTAACATATGAAAGGTATTAACTAACCCGTTTTATCAGTACATTTGTTTTCTAAAGCTGACCAACAGCTCACACATTTGTGGAAGCCCAGTATGGTATGGTCAGCCACTCGTTTCCCGTATCTTGTGAATATACGCCAGAGATATTAAAAATATTTATGAAAATACTGTGTAGGTTAGGCTACGTTTCACCATCGTATCTGGTAATAAAAACGTTTGAAGGTTTCTGGAAACTTCTACAGCACTCAAGGTAGCCTCACAGCTCATATGATTACTTAATTTTTAGCAGCTAAAGACTGACTTGGTTTGCTTATATGTGATTTATTCTGTATGTTTCTGTTTTCTGCTTTATTACGTTTGCTATCCACTTTTATGATACTTCACAAAACTCTTTTATTACTTTTCAGAAACATATTTCGCCAGCACAAAACCAAACAAATATGTGACGAATGAATTTTGAAAGATTCGTCACTGCTTGCTTCGATTTGTGATGCAGTCTAATATATTTAGAATTTTTTATTGTCCGATTCTTCCGTATTTAGTGCATATCCAGAATATCCCTTATCTTAGTGATTCAGAATTTAGACTTCTTCAGGTTTTATGGTTTGGATCTTACTGCCTTATTAGATATTCTATCTTTAATTCGCTTACGATAAACAATTAAAGTGTTACATGATAGCAGGTGGTTTCATCAGCTCGTGAAATAAATCTTCCGCGCGGACAACATTCAGATTTGCGCCTTGAGGACAAAATGCCAAATAGATGAATTGGTCATTTTCTTTCATTAATTTGTGTATCACTAACCCTTTTTGAAAAAGTTCGTTGAAAATTCAGACAACACGTCGCCTCAAGTGTTTATCTTTCTACGATAAAACTCTCATTCCATAAGGATATTCGCCGTTCTTTGAGTTGAACTTGAGGGGCTTATCCTGTACGTTTTGTTGACTTATTTGGAAAGTGAATAGGAGGTTACTGAAGCTAAAGGTTATTTCTCTGCACTATATGGATCATGGATGGTTAAAATGTTTCAAGCGCATGTGAGCGTAATAAAGACTTTTACTCAACGGGATCCTCAGAAGTAATTTACACCACTTAACCTGACAACGAATTTAGGTATATGACTACGCGTAAAAAGTAAACGGTGTGCCTACGATCCACTCCGATAGTTCATTTCTCTAATTTCTGCGTGGTACTTCTGAGGTATGTTTTATAGCTGGGCCTACGCAGGTACCCTAGAGCGTCCCAACGAGTGCCTAGCAGTTTACAAGTCACCAAATATTCATAGTGCATAAAGAATCAGTGATTTGAGCTGTATTCCGTAAGGTTTCGGATTTGAGTCCTCGAACTGATTCTCCAGCTCGCATTTGGATAAATTCCGAAGTATTCTAGTTCTTTTTGAGTGAGAGAGAATATAGCATTATTATTATTATTATTATTATTCATGAACAATTAGTCATGTATAATTGTTATGCGGAAACCATTTGGGGTTGGGCACTCTGGATCCCTAGAAATCACTTTATAGGTGTCTCATTCTTGTTCTTTTATCTTGCAAACTTGAATTTTCTAATTTTGTTCATAAGAGCCCATTTTTACCTCCGGATTGTACTTCCTACTTAGAAGGACCCTAATTGTTATCGGTTCATTTCTTCTTTTAATACGCTAGTTTGCGACGTCTCACAATGACATTTGTATGCTGGATATATACGTTTGACTTGTGTGCTTGTTGTTTGCTCTTCTGACTGCTTGTGAAATAAATAGACTTTAATGTATCAACTTGTACTTCTTGATAGTGTTCCTCAGATTACAAACTTACCAGACTTCTGGTAAACACGACGTAGGACAGAGAACATGTCCTATATATGTGTTTTCGACTATCCATCACAAGGATGTTAAAAAAGAAGGGAAAATGACAGGAAACAGAACAGGCAATCTTCGTAAGTGGTGAATTTGAGTTGTTCCTGATGGAGTAATTAGGAAGCGATTGTAGAATTATGGTCTAGGTTCTTTACTAGCACTGTTATAATGATAAACCTAATCCTAAGATCATGGATTTGTCATTAAGGGACTATCTAATCTATGAGATATTACGTGGAAGTTCCATCTTGTCTGCCCTGACTCGTCGTATCGTGAGAATCAGCAACGTCTAGCACTTTTAAAAAACATATTTGGGCTAAAGAGAGAACAATGTATTTAATGTGAGTAGAGACACGTTTTACAGAATGACCACGTCTGCAACGCTGAACAACGCCACCTGATCGAATAAATGTTCCCGCTTTCACAATTGTCGGCTTTCTTTCTGTGTTAAATGTTTAATATAAAATTCACCAGTTATCTAATGTTCAGCTTTGAGGATTATGTGGTTAGGATTAGTATAAGTACATGATTATTGAAACTTATTCCCTGTAATCAAGTCAATTTTCACGCAAGTGGGTTTTGATGAGCTAAAAGACGTTAGCCTAAAGTATGGTAAAAAATGGATGAAGGAATTTATAGATGGGGAAGGTTCTAAAGAAGCAAAAGCTTAGGATTAAATAGTTATCTAGAATGTAGTAAGAAAAACACCGAGGTACGAATATAAGTTATTGTATATACTATACACAGACTTGAAAATAAATCACTGACTTAGTAAGATATAGAAATAGAATAAGAGTCCAAGTAGTAATAGTTTAGAATGATTCCATGAAGATTTCCATTAAAAGTAGGAAATAATCATGAAATATCAAGCTCTAGGAATCATATTTACGTGCTGAAAATAAGTTTGAAAAGTCCATTTGTTTCAATGAGTATTATACGATGTTTCACTTTCTTAATCAGGAACTCTAAGATGCTAGAACCAAAACATCTTGAGTGCGCATGAAGACCTATTAAGATAATGAAAATAACAAGTATGAAGATGTTGCCTCTTTGATTTGTCAACCCAACAATATACAGGTGAGAGCGTGTCTCGATCTAGATTGAGACCTTGACATGATAGGCCGACAGTCTAACATTTAGGCTGCAAATACGTGAGTACGAATTAAAACTAGCGGCTCTGGATAGGGGTACGAAAAACTGCTTTATCGACTGACTGACGAGATAGAGAGATGTAGAATTATGGCGTAGTTCAGTATTGTTACATTTAACTTTTGTTACTCTAATAACACACCAAACCCTAAAATTGTGGATTTCTCATGACGTGAATACCTAATTTATAAGATCATATGTGAAAATCACATCATTGTCTACACTGACTCGTACTGTCGTGACGTTTAGCAATATAGTGTCCAGCATTTCTAAACAACACATTAGAGCCGGAAAGGGAGTAATATGTTCGATGCAAAAGGCAAGGAATGACCGCGCTTGCTTGACCGATTCATTGTTTTCGATTTTTTGTTACGGTCATCACCATTGTTGACCTTCTCTAGGTGTTACATGTTGAATGTAAATCTTTTCGGTACTTATTTACATGGCTTCAAAGATCTTGTGGTTATGAACTAATGCCACTTTAAAGACACTACCTGATTTATTTTCGATTCCCAATTCAGATTAGTGTAAAAATATCCATGAAAAAATAGATGAATAACATGGTCACAACGCACAAAAAACTAAAACATAGAACTACGTCTGAAACGGGGATTACGGTAGAAAAATGAAGTGCCAACAGTTATTTTAAAATTACAACTGCTTTGGAACAAAAAAGAAAATGGCGGTGAATCGTACATCAAATCAATGTCTATGGTTTACAGAATAAATTTGGGACAAAATCAAATGTTACTATGTCGTTCCCATAGGTAACACCCTTTCTGTTGGTAGAAGAAAACAGATTAGTAGTGAAAAGGTCTTCATTTAGCACATTGTGGAGCAGGAGGTTACCTGTTAAAACATACAAAGCATTTCAACATACAAGATAATAGGAAACATTATGCCTATGCAAAATAAGGAAGTGGATGAATACTTCAGCTGTATTGTGTTGACATATACTTAGTTGTTCGAGGTCGACTCTAAAATAATCAACCTAAGATGTTACAACTATTTTAAAACCTCTGAATATGGTAAAATACCATCCCCTTTCCTTGTTTTTCATGAATTTTTTCCTTTCGCTGTTTACATTAACTTCCCTCTTGAAAAAACGTTATAGCTTTCCCATGTCTGAGTGCATAAGTGAGGGAAATTATCTAGCATTGTGCTCTATATAAGACAATCAATTTGTTTGACTAAATTTAACGCAAAAAGAAAAAAACACTACTTAAAAGCGATAGCTTAGTTGTTGTCATCGATACCACCCCTCAGAAACATATGCTCTTTCTTGCTAACCCGGAAAATATCCGGTCTTCCGTATTTTCGTATGATCTTCTAAAGGGATTTTGTTCTTGTTCTACACTCCTCTGAGTCTCTGAACCTCCTACATCGAAATCGACCAGGAAGATTTCCAATACCGAGCTCATTTTTTCGGTTTTCTGCAAAGTACCAAAAGTTTCCAGTATGTGGTTGACATGACTCACTACCGTTGACCTTTGACTTCCGACACATACATTACATTCCTTCGTCTCTCAAGTATAAGCCTACTGGCCCAGTGCGAAAATAGACGTATACTCTTTGGTTGTTTGGAAAAA